CGGCACACAGCCGGCCAAAATTACCCACACAGATGGCGAGATAACAATTACGGTCGACAGTGGCACATAGAGAATGGGCGGCCACGACACACAAAGACACATAATCGCGAGAATCACGGCGTGTATAGGCCAAGAGCAGAATCACGCCGATTCCCCATTCCACGATACACAAGGGGCACACATGGCTTGGCTGTAACAAAGAGGGTGACATGGGCACGTGATAAATCGCTCACACTGGTTGAGAGGAAAATGACAGGGAAAGAGGTGTCCGCTGATCTGAAAAAAAAATCACAGCCCTTGAAAAAAATCAAGCAGGCTGGAGGTTACAAACAGAACCAGGAGGGGAACCATGATTGTGGAAAACTAAATGCGCCATGCACACGCTTTGATGTGGTGGGGAACGCGAGAGTCGCTCCCGTGGTGAACCCACCTATTGAACAAGGAAAATTAACCATGAAGCGTGATCTAACAGGAAATGATAACCAACAAGGATCGAGGAGGAGAACATGCTTGTTGTAAATGGAAACGCGATCAATTGTGTCGCAAAATTGCGTGAGAGTACTGTAAAAGTGCCAGGGAAACGCGTTACGGAGACAAAAATCCATGATGGATTTGGGGAATGTGTGGAAATCCAGCACACGCAAAAACATGGAATAGAATCGAGGCACGGAATCGAATCGTGGTACGGAGTCAGCAAATCTGCACATGGCTGCGGAGAAGGCAAATGACCCCAACAGTCGAGCACGGAAACTCGTGTTGTGTACTAATCCTGGTGGCGCTCGACATGGCTTCACGCCACATAAACCCACAGGGAAGGCGAGGGATAAAAAAAATTACCGATACGAACCAAGGAACCGTGCTCATTTGGCTAAAGCCATACCGACGATGAACCAAAACGACGATGTGATGATGTTGCATGGAAAGGTCACAGGTTACTCTAAAATACCTGGCCATGAGAAAAATTATTCTGCACTCTTGACCAAAGGTGGCAGTAAGGTTGCCAATAACTTGGTAAACAGAAAACAAAGAGGTGAATGGAGGGAAACTGTGTACCACCGGGCGCGAAACCGCTATCCAGTGTTTCCCAGGAACTGAAACAAAAATCAAAGTAGCAATAATTGATAACAACCGATGTAACATGTTGCCTTTATTTTTTCTTTTTCCTGTTCTTTTATTTTCTTATTTCAAATGTAATCATGCTGTGACACGTACGCGCGCGTTGTAAGGAAAAATCAGTCAACTCGAGGAATGTCGATGGTTCTAGATGGAAAAGGCATTTTTCTTTTATTTTTAAAAATAATCCGTGGCAGACCACCGATCATTTTTAAAAGGGCGGTGTGTTGTATATGAGCCTTTTCCAAAATTGATATTAACAATAATATTTGCCGTTATATATATCATATTTTTTTTTAACAAACGAAACAAAATAATTAATAAAACCCGTAAGCCAGGCACACAAAAAACCAGGTGTCGGCCATAAACAGGCTATTAATAAATAAAGAAATAATAAAACTCTCGAGGCGAGGATGTTAGCAGCTATCTGCGAAGATCTCCAGATGAACAAGAGTTTGATGTGCCCTAAGGGAGGTCAAGCAGAGGGAAGCCCTCCCGCAAGCCAGAAATGAGGACGCCCACGGGTTAAACTATTTTTTTTTAAAACAACGGTTCAAATTTAAAATGCAATAACAAGAATGAGCTAAAGTTAGCGGTCCTCGCGCTCACTCCAATCAAGACCAGGCCACCAGATACATCAGTGAATTATTATCCAATAATTAATTCGCTATCAAATGATTTTCACCTTTAATACTTTACTGTTAAAACAAAGCTTGGAGACAAAATACCGAGTCACATCAAAGGTTATCGAGAAGGAATGAGGCGAACGGGCAAACTTACGAAAGAGTTTAAACAATATCCCAAGCAACCCCGACCATCTTTGTCTCTCTCACAGCGCGGAGAAGCAGGAATTACACCTTATCACAAGGGGCCATCTGGAAAAGCCAGCCGTGTTTGATGAGGAGACACACCCCACCCCACACACGGCAACCAGACAAACAAGTTTTAAAGAAATTGCAAAATAACATTAACAATAATGTGTTAACCTTAAACGATATTCCATTATAGAACCTTACAGAACCAAGGGATATGGATTCCAACAATCTGGAAACGGACCTCTTAAACTCAGGATGAAAATTATTTTTCTTTTTAATAATTCCATCATAACATTTCGAACCTCGGTAAACCGAGAGGTGTCGGGAGGACGTAGTTACAAACACGAGTCGTGGCGAACATGGGACCAAATGGTATTTGAGAAATATAAGTCGAAAGTATAAAGAGATAGGTGCTCCCGACCACCTTTGTCTCTCCCGAAGAGCGCGAGAGAGGAATTTCACGCCAGGGCAAACAGATCGTTATCGCAGGAGCCATCTGTACACACACACACACGAACTCACACACACAGACCCCGCCCCCCCCCCCCTTTTCCACTGCGCAGAGAGAATTGTCTTTGAATATAACGGTCAGCCGCATTTTTCAAAAGGCCAGTGAAGTTAAGTCAAGAGTCAAGACGTCCACAGGACGAGCAGTCGCATGGAGCGGCTGGCTCCTAGCCTCGCTGAGTAGCGAGGATCGCTGAGTCGCGATGTATCAACAAAAGTGAGTCATACAGCAGTGGAGGAAACCTGCTGTCAGCGAACCAGCACGGGCGCGTTCGCGCACTTCAACAGAGAGAGCACGTGCGACTCAACTCACTCAACTGAAGGAAAAGCTTGGGCAGCCGCCAACAACTTCAGCAAACCAGTGACCAAGCGCGTGCGACTTGAGTCATACAGCAGTGGAGGAAACCTGCTGTCAGAGAGCCGCCAACAACCTCAACAAAGAGAGCGCGTGCGACTCGGCTCACTCAGCAGAAGAAAAACTTGACCTGTCGCTCGCGAGCGCAGCGTCAGATAATACAGCAGCGGAAAGAGCGTGCGCCGGCGTAGCTCATCCAGCAGTGGAGGAAACTGCTGTCAGCGAATCAGCACGGGCGCGTTCGCGCATCTTCAAGGAGAAAGAGCGCGGCCAGCAACGCCAAGCAAGAGCGTGCAGCAGCTCAGCCAGCAGTGGAGAGAAACTGCTATCAGCGAATCAGCACGGGCGCGTTCGCGCATCTTCAAGGAGAGGGAGCGCGCCACCAGCGTGCCATCAGCACCATCACCAGCGCGTGCCAACAGCGCGCCACCAGCGTGCCATCGGCACCAGCGCGTGCCAGCAGCGTGCCACCAGCGTGCCACAGTGCGCAACTTCGCGTCACCAGCGCTGAGAGGGCAGCGGCCCCGCACTCAACACCCATCGGCGCGACGACGGCGAGCGTCGTGCTGACTCATCCAGCCAGCGGTGGACAGAAACTGGCAGCCGGTCGTATGCAACCCCTCCTCCACACTCTCCCCCTCACTCCCCCACCGCGCCGCAACACACAGGAAACACATTTTGGACACAAGAAATGCTAACCTCGGCGTCTGCTTTACGCAAAGAATTGAACCAGTGATAAAGAAGACACACGATACGCATATCGGGATAATCAAGAAGGGTGCCACTCCAAGGTGGTGCATTAAAATAAATTCATAAAGGAAAATACTGCTGTCATTGAGTTGCATAATAACCAATCGTCCTGTTAACAACGTGATACGAATTGACTTGAAGGTCTATGAATGGATGTGGTACTGTGTGGGCAATGTTTAAACACGAATTTACATATTATAAGGTTAAGGTTTTGATAGAATAGTTGCATGTTTTAATCTCTCTCTCAACAACCGATTGATTGCGTTACGCGTCGGGAATTAACCACAGGTGCCGCTATCGAGGTGAAACAACGCAATCGTGATGGTATCATGTTAACGCTGTGTTGAAATTCCAAGGTCGAGAGTTTTCATATTATCCAAAATTAAAGTTAGCTAGAAAATAAAATTGATCAAAGCAGAAGGTTTGTGTGTGATTCTTCCTGAAATCCTGCATAATATTGTTCTGCGTATGAGATCTGAATCCTGGGGACCTATCATAAGCACACTATCACCACACATAATCCATAACACACATAATTCGTAATGTTAAATCGAGAGTAATCGTATCCTTATCGATAATACGGAATTAAAGAGCAGAGTCGAATCGACTCTCTCTCTCATTCACGCTCACAACGTCTGCGTCACTGCATACGATTAATTGCGTCATTCCAATTCATAACACAATCCTAGTCACCGAGGCTCGACCTGATAATCCATAACGACCGGCATTATCATAACCACGCCCACTCGCATAAATTAATACAATTATCTCTCGAATCAGCATAATTTATGCGCATAATTACACTGATTAACATAATTTCGGATAAATTATGCAAATCTCAAATTTCATTTAATTTTCATTATTTTCATCAATTTTCATAACACCTATATATACAACACCGCGTGATAAGCCACTGCGTTGAGCTATCCATTTATATAGCTCAGTGGGCCTTACCTGGTAAAATACATTTTTTTAGTCGTTTTATAGTTTAATATAATCTCTCCCTTCATGTGTATTCTTTTTCTCCGGGCGCTCCAGTTTCCTCCCACATGTATAAACACTCATTAATCGGCAGAATTTGTATTTATTATATATGTAGGACTGCAGAGCTTGAGCTATTGTTGGCACCGGCTCACCGATTGGCTGCCTTCCAGCTTGTCCGTGGTCCCTCGGCGATCTTGGGATGCAAGTCGAACGACGACGATGACGCTATTTAAAGCTAATTATTATTAGAAACCTGCCAAACGTCCAAAGAAAAAAACCCTGCTAGAAAGATGAGACCCAGGTTTGCTTTCCTGGAAAAACAAAGACTTCTATATAGATGCATGACTCGCGACTGTAAATTGCAGATGCAATTTATGATGACCAAAGACACAAAGCAAACGCTAAACATGATTTTAACGGCGTTGTAAATATGGCTCAATGGTGTTAACAGTTGCCGTTGCCTTTTTGTCTGACAGGTGGGAGCTGCCCTGCAGAGGGCGAGCGAGAGGGCAAGCCGCACGGCCAAGGGCGATCCGCCCGCGGGGGCCGAGAGCCACGTCGCACGCGAGGTGGCGTGCTGCTGCCTGCGCGTGCTAACGCTCGCGCACCTCACCGTGTCGTGGAAGAGCCCGCTCAAGCGGGCGCTCGCCAGGTACCCTCCACGGACCCACGGACGATTGCCGATCCACCGTCGTTGACGTTCGCTCGGGTGGTGCAGTCGGTGACGCGGCAAAACGGATTGCGCCGGTTGGTGGACACGGCGGGGAAGTCTTGGGACGCGGCAAGCGCGGCTGCCTTGACTTTCGCCGTGCATCAGGGGTCTTGAAGGAATGCGGTGCGACATCCTCACATCAGAGAGATGAGTTTGTCTGTAATTATGTGGGTGGCTCTTTGCGTGGCCATCTCATGGAGAGGAAAAAAAAACAAAGCACCTGGCACAGGTGTGTCATTAGCTGCACTTGGGAGACAAAGCAACGATGCTGGCCTTTCCAGCCCCTTGTTCTAACCGTAATTGATGGTTCGCTAAGAAGCTTTTCCTGAGGTGGTTGGTTGGGTGGGTCAGAGGTCAGAGGGCTGAGCTGTGGACCACCAAGATCCTGGATTCGAATCCAGTGGATCCGCTTGTGATTAAACTGGGTTAATAAGTGTCATGAGTTGATGGTCTCAGCCTTGTCGCACATTTCTGCACAGAAAACCATCGCGTAAAGTTTGTTTCTGCACTTAATATGGCTAAATTCCAGCTCTCGGAATGAAAAATCTTAAAATAACGTTGTAACTTTTTTGTAGCGAACGTGACTCTCTTGTGGCACCGACAGGTGGGAAAGTGCCACGCAAAGTGTCGCACTATCCTGCGGAAGATCCACATGGAATCTTCGTGACGTGACGTAATGGCACAATCGGATTACAATTGAGGATAATTTTTTTAACAAAATATATTTTAAAAAAAGAATGCTTGTGCCCACGGTATAACCAGGCTAACTAGGGGCTTTTTTTGTCGACCCCAGCCTGCTGGAGTCCCAACGTGGCGAGTGGAGGGTAATGGCCTGCGACGCCCTTGCCGGGCAGGTGAGCGACGCTGTGGGGCCGAGCGGGCGCAAACCCGGTGGGGAGCCGTCGCCCGCGGACGCCTCGAGGCCGGGCTGGGTAACGGTGTCCACGCTTGCCTGCTGCCTCGAAAACTTCCCGCTTGGTCAGTGCAGCGCCACTCTCGTCGCCTTTCTTTTATTTCTGTTGTCTCTCGACGACACCACCACCACCACCACCACCCTCCTCTCTTTATCACCAAATCAACAAGTCTGCACTCTGCCTAATGTCTTCCTCGTGTCTTCCCCCGCAGGCGAAGAGGCCTTGGTGTCAGTGCTCTCCCCAGGTGTGTAACTGCAAAGGGTGCCGGCCTTGTCTGTGTCCGTGTTCCTGTGGGCATCGCGTAACTGTGCACGCGCATTCGCACGTCTCGCTTTGGTTCTCCGCCGCTCGTGGGTTTCTTCGCCCGTGCACAAGTCGCGCTCGGCGCGCGTGTGTCCGTTTCGTTCCAGTTCTGGAGCTCCTCCTGGGCCTCCTGTCCGACTCTGTCAACCGGGCAAGGTGAGACGCCTTCCAAAACAACACCCGGAGTTCGCAGTTGAGGTCGCGCTACGACAGAATCAACGCAGCCGACAAGATAGCGGAAACTTGGTCGGTCGGATAGCACACCGGTGAATGGCAATTGATTCAAGTAGGCATCTGACGAATAGGGGACGTGTCACTGCTTATACTCGCGATTCACGCGGTGCATCTTCCCTCTAAGAATCAATTGTTAATCATAAATGCAACTGACCTGAAGATGTTAACTTAGTATTAAAGACACTGAACAAATGACGCGGAACATAAAACACAATATAAATGAGACGCTACGGTACATACAAGATAAGAAATAACCCATGACTGAAGTGAATCGTAACCTTGTATAATAATATAATCGGATCATTGGTGGGGAAGTGGGTTTCGTAATCGATACATGCTTAAACTTTAGCAAATCTAAAGTGGAGAAGATGAAATCGGACGTTGATGCTGTGGTGTGTCGTCGATGCCGCGGTGCGCTGCTGACGCCGTTGGGAGGGTGTTGTTATGCTGCTGCTGCTGCTGCGGCTGCTGCTGCGTTGAGGGAGTGCGCAGGGCAAGCGGCGGAGCGGACCGCGTGGATGCACGAGGCACAGACGGCGGTCAAGACAACGATGGTGCTGCTGCAGAAGGGCCTGGGGCGCCCAGGAAAGGTTCAGGACGAGGGCCCAATGTCGCTACGGACAACCAGCGAAGGCTTTATCGGCTGCTTCGTGGACATACTTTCTGATGGTGAGCTGTCAATAATGTACTGAAGTTAGCGATAATAACTAAACGGGTGAAATTATGAACATAGCCGAATTTATATTCTTAGCTCTTTCGGTAAAGTCACGTTGAAGGGAAACAATAAAATAATAAAATATATATAACAATAATATTTTATTGTTTCCCTTCAACGTGACTTTACCGAAAGAGCTAAGAATATGAATTACTGCAGTCACGAAAGCTTTAAATCAAAATATAGCCGAATTTATTAATCCAGGTAAGTATCACCGAGTCTTAAGATTATTTTTCATGAGGGTTCTGCAATGGGATGTTTGGCGAGTTCCCTTGAAAGAATTGTTAAGCACGTTTTGGAGAATACTGGTGTACCTGGGACGAATACGTGGAGATGACACTCTCCAAACTCCTCACAGACAGCTACTTGAACCCACTTTGGGTACTGCCATTACCTTTTCACATCGCAGGCCAGCAGGTTTGGGAGAATCATATCCACCTCTAAAGTGCTGGAACACGGGCCTACACAGCCCCCAATATTTACATAAATTACCATACGTTGTATAAGTAAAACGTCCACGTGCTAACATTTAAATATATTCATACCACACCGAATCTCTGTTGAACATTACTGCATGTTCAAACTCCTCACCGCCCCTAATAGTGCAGCTGAAATAACCGATATTTTCCAGTCGTGTGCAAATCAACATCAAGTCGCTACACGTTGCACACGCCTGATGGTTGGTGACCGCAGAAAAATGCGCCGGGGGACGGGCGTGAGAGCAGCACCAACGTGGAGGAACGTACGAGCACGAGACCCGAACCCTACCTCGAGCCATGCGGCTCACGGAGACATGCACAGATCTCTGTTGTCGCTAAGCCTGAAAGTCGAGCACCGATGGCCCTTAATGCCGCGCTGACACGGCGCTGTGCCGTTGGTGGCGGTGGCCACGTCGTGAAGGTGTGTGTTTGTGTTGGGTGTGGGGGAGTGCCTTTGTGTGTGGTGGGGGAGGGGGGGGGTGAGGTTTGAAGGATTGATCGGTAGGAACTGCTTTGTCTCTGCGGTGAAACGTGAGCCGATCGACGAGGGGACGGGCGGATGCCCAAGGGGAAGGTGGGCGAGGCGGCCGGGGCCAAACAGGAGGATGAGCTCACGGCACGACACACACACACACACGCGCGCGCCTGCGTCCTGCCGTTGGCGCGCCGGCGCTTTAACACGTGACGCTCGAACAAAAAGCGACGAAAACAACGAGGCAAGCTCTTACCGTCTTGGTCGAGCAAAGAGCTCCCCCCACACCCCTGTCCCTGCGCTAAATCCCATGGGTGCACGGCTGCTTCCTATCGGTGCCCGCCGTCCGAACTCGGGCGCCGTAACGCATTTTCTCTCCGGTCTCGATTTGATGAATTGCCATGGGTTGGGGCTGCGATTCGATTCATAATAATCGGTTCTTGTCGTTGTTAACTTTGTGGTGGTGCGATGTCAACACCTCCAGTGGCTGCAGGGCGGTCATGTGAAATAATTGCTCGTAAGATACGAATGGAAATACTCCATTCTCACGCGCAACACTATTCACCGCAAGCATTGTGAGCGTAAATCAATGCTGCTGAATGGATGGCTGATTACTCGCCAGCCAAAGAGTGTGTTTAAACTCAAGTTATGAAACCCGCACCTCTGTTTATAACAAAAAATGCAAGAAGTTGGGAGGGTTTGCAAAGAGGTGATTTCCTTCTGTTGATCAAGTTTGGCGTTGTGGCAACATTCTCTGTGGAAAGAGGACAAAGAGAGATCCCCCCCCCCCCCCCCCCCCCCCCCCCCCGTGTGGTGTGTGTGTGTGCGCGCATGCGCACGTGCGCAGACAAAAGGGGGATGTATTTTCCCATTATCAGCAGGACAGGGAGAGGGGCGGCCATTGAAAGCCATTGAGAAAACTCTCCCAGGCTCTCTCTGCAGTTCAGAACAGCGGTGACCACGCAAAACCGAAAAAAAAACTGCTGCCAATGTCCTTGTCCACGCTGTGAATTTTGGCACGGTCGGCAGTATTCAGCGGTAATCTCGGCATTAAAAACAATACCCCGTAGCCCACACGGAGCAGCAGTAATGCTCCACAAACTAAACCGTGACCTCCGGCCTTAGCCCTAAGCACTGACCGCCACGCTCCGTGTGAATGCCTCTACACGGCCATTGATTCGCAATCTGCTGGCATTGACGCGTTTCGTTTTTTTCCTTCCATCCAATCTCCGTTTTTTTTGCGTGTGTTTTTAAACGGCAGAGTCGTGACCTCCCTGGGCCTCCACTGTGGTGGGCGGTGGCGGGGTCACGCCCGTGAGCGCCGGGCGATTATCCTGCCAGAGCGACGCGACCCTTTTAAAGGCGCCCGTCCCGTTTACGCGCTCGTGGTTTTGGTGTTGCCTGGGCTTATTGTCTCCGGGAGATGATGGGCCAAAGAAACAAAAATACTGCCATTTGTCTAAAAGGTTTTTTGGCGATGTGTGGAGAGAGGACAGGTGATGGCAGGATGGAGCTGGGGGAGTTAAAAGTGGGGGACCTGAGGAGTTGGGCCATGAGAATCTGCTTCAGCGGCATTTTCGGTTGGGCTTCATTGTCCTGTTAATTGCAATCGTTGATCCGCTTTGACCAACAGACAGGAACAGAGGCTCTTTTACGAGGTTATGCAGGAGGGCAAAATCAGTTCTCAAAGAAAAGAATCTTGCATGAACTGTGACGGCGGAGGTTCGTTCCATTCCTCCGAGTGCTAATCCTGTTCACGAAAACAAAACGACTCCAGAGGATGGGTTTAGGGGTCGTAATGGCAGAGACTGGAAACTCATTAGTGGCAAAGCTGTTTGTACTCCGACTCGGCCACACATTCTCCCCCGTCCACCTGGTGCTCTATGCCACCAAGACCCCCCCCATGCTTTAATACACTCTGATCCAGTGTGGTCAACTGTGGTTGACTTGCAGGCTGACGGGCTGATACTTTAAAAAGGCAACGCTTGGAAAACACCCCTTAAACATAGAACTCACCGTACAATCCAAAGGGGGTCATTGTATTCACCGAGGCTTTCCTGGGTAAATAAATGGCTCTATTGTGATCATAAATGAATGGCATTCATTATTGCTATCCGACGCGATAAAGTTGCCTTGGAACGTGGTACGATGCGGGGGGGGGGGGGGGGAGCTGCCCCGTGTGTGACGCGTTGACCCCACGCGTCCTGTCGATCTCTCCGGGTGACCCTCCACCCCCCCCACCCCCCCCACCCTCCCCCCCACCGTGGCAGCCGGGTTCCTGCGGACGTGTCGTGCGGCGGCGGGCATGGCCGCGGTGCTGCTGCTGCTGTTGGGCCCCAACACTGCGACGGACCCAGCTCCCCTGGTACCACCACCGGCTCCCAACGTCCGCCTCCTCTTCGTACTCCCCCCTCCATCCTCGCACTTCACCTTGACTGCTCTCCCCTCTTGTGGAAAGTGAACTTTTATGACCAACCGTGTGTTCGCAGTGAAGGCTCCCCACTGGCACCTTTGCTATCCAATGCCATCGTTTGCTGTCCCCTCTCTGCACTTCAGCCCCATCCCGTCTCACTCCACCTCCAGAAACACCTCTTCTCTTCCTCGTCCCCTTTGACGGATGTCCTCTATATTTGTGTACAGCGTCTTGAGATGCGGTCGCATTTGAGCACTTTGTAAATCCAAATTGTGTTGTATTATGTGCCAGGTTGCAAAAGCAAGCAATGAATAAAGGAAGCTCAATGAGTCGTTCACATTGGGAAGCGATGGTGGTTTTTTTTGTTTTGCCGTATCGAGTCTATTCTGCAGTTTCGCCATTTGATGGCACATTCGAGGGTTTTGCGTTCCTGCTCCTCACCCTGGCCCGAAGCTCGCGCTGGCGCTGTTGGGCTCACGGGAGATGGGCGCCAGCGGTGGTGGCGGCGGCGAGGTGGCTCTCCCGGCTTGGGCGAGCGAGGGCTTCCGGCGCTTGTGCGACGTTGCCGCCTCCGTGAGTTTCCCCTTTGTGTACGAGCGGCACTGCGTTGTTTATTGTTGTTGGGTAACTGCAAACTCTGGCTGCCCGAAGCCGTGCTAATCCTACTCGTTCGTAGTTAGTAATGATATTATTGTCGTGTTGCGGTCCAGATTTAAACCCAAAGTGACAAAATGGAAAGTGGCACAGGCTGCCCGTGGTGATGGAGGAGCGGTGGGAATGGGTGTCGCGGGTTTTGCAGGACCGGGAGGCGTGGCTGAGCGTGTGCCACGGGACCCTCGCGATGCTTGACTGGGACGTCGCGAGCGGCCCCCAGCTCCGCCTGCTGCTTCGGGTCCTGCAGCCCCTGCTGGGGCTCGCTGCTGGGTGAGCGCCCCGGCTCCAGGGCTCCCGATGGAATGTGACGTCTCTGCACTTAAACCTGCTGCTGCGTAAATAACAGCGCACCTTGCTGCCCGCTGGGTAGAGCTGAACTGCCCGGGTGCACTCGGCACGCAACAGTGTTTTGGTCCGTAGATTTAAAATGGGCTTTTTTTATTCAATTGCGCACCGACTAATTGATTATTGAATAGTAGATTCGCATATTATGCTAATATTACATTTAGGGCTACACAGTGCACCAAAGAGATGTGAAAACACTCGATCAAAAATAAAAATTCAATTGAATTGTGACCCCCACCCCCAATTGCAACAATTCAGGCACTTCCTAGAGGACGGATGGAATTGTTCTCCTGTTCATCCAACAACACACCTTGGGTTCAGGCCCTGATGAGTTTAATATGACACCCGAGCAAAGTTCTACCTGCCCCCACCGTTCCATCCAGATCCCAGGAGCCCAGTGCTGCGCTCACCCTCGCCCGAACTTTGACGCTGTGGACGACCTCCGCCCTCGTGGCCCTGGGATCCGAGGCGGCGCGCGCGACGCCGCTCCTGTGCTCTGCGCTGACCGGCAGCGGCCGGTGCGACGAGTTCACCTCGCCGTCGCCCACCCCGTGCGATTCGTCACCCCTGCCACCGACGTCCATGCCGGCATCGGGTTCGTCGTCGTCGTCGTCACCCCCTTCAGCGGAGGTGCGCGTGGCCGACCTGCTGGTTGAGCGCTACGTGTGGGCCAACCTGGACCACCCCCTGGACGGCGTGCGGCACGAAGCGCGGCACATCCTCACCAACCTCCTGAGGGCCCACTGCGCCGCCGTGGCCCTGGCACGCACCTCTACGTTCGGATCCGGCGTCGGTGGAGACGCGGCGGCGAGCCCGTTGGACGGGCTGGCGCGGGGCGTGGCGCGCCGGACCCTGGCGCTTGGCTGGCGGTGCCGGGCGGCGTTTGGCGCGGCGCGGGCGCTGATCGAGGTGCAGGGTCCCTCCTGGCTGCTGGCGCTGGCTCCTGGCACGCCCCGCGGCCTGCTGGTGGCGGCCGCCGTGGACCCCGCCATGTGCCCGCACGCGGCGGACGTGCTCGGGTCGATGAGTCGCGCTCACTTCCAGGAGATCGGCCACGGTGCGGAATCGAGGGAGCGGCAGGACGGTAAAAACAAAACCTCCAACTTGATCAAGTGTGCCTTGAGCGGTCGCTCTAGCTAAGCTTTAAAATCGATGTTTGATACGTGCATTGAACTGTGTATGGAAGAATCAATTATTAGCTATGCATGCAAATGATACACTGTTCCTTGAGCTTAATGGGTATAATATGATCCCCGAATTGTGAGAGTCCTTTTAAATTGGGGCGGTTCGTCACTTTGCTCAACCCCGACCACAGCCGGGATTGCGACGTTTAAAGAGCCGCGCCGCCCGGCTGCGGTTGCACCCCACGTAACGATGCCCCTGAACCCGCGACGCCACAATCGGCACGGCCTGCGCCCTTTTTTTCAGTCGACGGCGTTGGCATTGGGGGCGATTTCGCGGACCCTTGGCTGCGCACGTGGGTGTCCCCGCTCCTGGAGGTGCTGTGCGCGCCGCCGTTGGGAACGGGCACCGCGGACGAGGGAGACGGAGCGGAGGGAGACGGAGCGGAGGGAGATGCCGACGCGGAAACGGGGAGGAGTCGCGTGGTGGAGCAGTGCCTCCCACAGCTGCTCCAGTCCAACCCCGCGTGCCTGGCTCTCACTGTGCAGGCCCTGCAGGCGCGCCAGCCAGGTGAGAGATGCCTACAATGCAATTACAATACGACGTGTACTTATTGCAGAGTCTCCACGTGACCGTATTTCGAGACGGTTTACAGAAACGGTGGGAAATCATTAGTTTGCAGGGAGAAAGAGAGAGAGGTAGTCACGGACAGGGGAAGTAAGGAGCCTGGACGTAGACAGGGGCAGGAAGTGTGCAGTACAGATGACTGGGGGAAAGGGAGTTCCAGACTCGCAGCAGAATTATCTCTCACAGGGCAAGCGCCTTTGAAAAACAACTCTCACACTGCTGTGGGATTGTGACACCATGAAAGTTTGTTTTCGAACACACATGCACGTTGATGAGGCTGCCTGTCAGCTGAGACAAATGTATGGAGGATGGCACAAATTCGTCACGTAATACCTAATACCCAACCGGTGGTAAAGATGCAGGCATATCATCATGGAATATACCCACAATGCATGGACTGTACCCACAATGCATGGGCTGTACCCACAGTGCACAGGCAGCCTTTGGGATTAGTGGGTGTGATCACGCCTGACCCACTGCGCTACCGCTCTCCACACGTGCAAAAACAAAGATCCTACGTATAGCCAGTCAGGCTGTTGGGACAAGTGCCCATAGTGAGCACCTATGAAGGGTCGCGCGGAATACGAGCCGAAGGCGTGACCAGCCATCACTTATGGCCGCCTTTGTCTCCCCAGTGCCAATGTTCACCAGGTCATCATTTCTGGAGAGGTCCCAGGACCGATTCACATATGACCCACCACTCATGCTAGCCATGGCTGGGCATCGAACTCTGCCGGGTTCTTGGGTTGGCAACGCATTTGAGTCAACCGCCACACCGCCACCGTGCTCACCGTCCCGCCGACCGGTGCCGTGTTTTGCCTCGCGGGTGCAGGCGGCCGGGGCAGCCTGGGCGGGCTGGTGGCGTGCGTGCGGGCATCAGCGCGCGTGCGTGGCGCGGGTCCCGGTCACCCGGACGGCGAAGCGAGGGCAGCCGCTCCGGACAGGCTGCTGCTCGGCGAGGATCTGATGGAGCGAGCTCTCGCGCACCGATGTGACCAGGTTTGCGTCCTGCTCGGTCAACGCCCTCATGCCGGCCGCCGAGGTGCGGGTAACTCGGGAGCCAGCCGGGTCCCATCGCGACTGTGGTGCCCGTTAGCGCTCGTTTGGTTGGAGCGTAAGCTGGAGGGCTCGCGAAGCGACAGGGATTTGTCAGGCGTGTAAGGATTCGTGAATGAATATCGTGCTCGCGATACATGCATCGGATCACGTGCGCAAGAATATATTATTTTTGTGCACATTCTGCGGACGTTCTGCTCAGGATGATTGATGAGATTGTATAAATGAGACGGAACAAACGAGAAACGGTAAAAAGAGGACGGGAGAAACAACCGATTTAGGAATATGTTTGCGACTGAATCGGGAGAGTTCACTGCTTCGCGAGCTTCGCGAGGGAGCTTGGGAAAGGGCAAAGAGACGATTCGTTACATTCTGCCGTCTCCCCACATTCCATGCAAGTCACGCACAGCGCCCAGCCCGCGCGGCGACGACGCCGCCACCGCCGTCGGTGCGCCTCCGCCGCACGTGACGCGTTTTTCCGAGCGGCTCCACGTCCCCCCGCGTTTTCGCCAGGTTCGCCTGGACGCGCTGGCGCTGCTGTGCGAGAGCGTGCGCGGCACGGAGCCCGTGTCGCCGCGCGAGCTGGCGCTGCTCCGCACCGCGCTGCCGCTCGCCCTGCCCGGCTGCTCCGCGGCCACGCGCCGGGCCACGCTGTCACTCGTGCGCAAGGTGCGTCCGGATCACGGGTGCCATTCCCCCCTGGCAGCCACTCGCTCGCGCTTGCCACGCCTCCCGAGTTTAATCCTTAACCCCCTTCTAGTTTTTTGTGTTTGGTTTGTTGTCCTTCATGCGGAGCGTGCGTGTGTACGCGTGTCGTGCGGAGCGTGCGTGTGTGCGCGTGTCGTGCGGAGCGAGCGTGTGTGCGCGTGTGATGCGGAGCGTGCGTGTGTACGCGTGTGTCGTGCGGAGCGAGCGTGTGTACGCGTGTCATGCGGAGCGAGCGTGTGTACGCGTGTCATGCGGAGCGAGCGTGTGTAGTGTACGCGTGTGATGCTGGGGCTGTTGTCCACAGCTGTTGCTGCGCATGCGGGACGGAGCGCTCGCGTGGCTCCGGCAGTCGGGCTCCTCGCATCGAAGCGACCCGCCGGGAGTGGACGGGCGGCGCCCGCACGTCAGCCTGCAGCAATATGGGGTGAGCCGACCGGGCGTCAGCGCGGGGTACCTTCACAAACCCTCATGCCCGCACCAAAATAAAATCAACCTCACCACGCCTCTCACTATAACAGACAACAAATAAAGCAGATGAATGTTGCCGGCTAGGGCCGCAGTGGCTCCGGATCAGGGACTTTATAGGCTTTCCATCTAATTTTTTTTCGATCACAAAGCAATGGCATTTTTGTTGACTCGTCCTCGTGCTCCACTGCCAACACAGCGGGGCCCCCGATCTTTATGCGCTCACGCTGCTTGTGGGTGCGAGGCGACTTTGCAGTTTGTTGCTTTTCCTCTTCCCGTCGCTGACGGACGACCCCCAGGAGTTTCTCGTCTGGCTGAGCGACATGTCATTCGACGCCCTTTTTCCCGGAGCCTCGTTCCCACGCAAGTTCATGGCGCTGAGCATGCTGGGATTGCTCGAGGAGGTGTTCCCCGACTTCCCAGGTGAACGCTCCACATTCTCCCCCCGCCCCTCGCGCCCACGCCCACTCGTCCTTACCGACCAGTTAAATAATTAAATAATTCTCAAGTTCTCTCCCTTGCGGTGTGCATCCCATAGACGTGTAGGTGTTTTCCCGTTTCAAGTGGTGTAACTTCGTTTCATTTTTAATATGGCTGTTGGACTGGAGCGTTGATGCGGTGGTTAGCGCGCTGCTCCGATGAACCTGGTAAACCTTGGTTCAATTCCCCGCCACTGCCGACATCGTTGGCGAGAGCTATCTCAACCGGTCCCGAGCTCCCCTTCACCACCCCAGCGTGGTGAAGTATGGTGAAACAACACCATTGACTGACGTGGTGTTCTGGACGCCTTTGTCCGGCAGTGCATTGCCACGTACACACTTGCGGGCTTTCATGAAAGTCTGCAATCATTACAACAATAATGATTTCATAGCGCCACGAGCATTTCACGAGACAACGAGAGTTTCTAGCTTTATTTAAAACGATTCAAAACCCTCGGGCACCGAACGCGGAGGGGCTTGAGGGCGCCGGCAAGCGGTGCCCGTCAGCCCAGACGGTCCTTTTGAGCCCGGCTCGCCGCGCTGCCGTCTGGCGGTGCAGGGTTCAGCCTGGCGGAGGCGGTGACGCCGGAGCGAGCCCGCGTCCTCCTCGGCTGCCTGGCCGACAACTTCCCCGAGGTGAAGCGGCTGGCGAGCACCCTGCTGCGGCTGCTGCCAGGCGAGCGGCTCGGGCTGCAGGTGCGTGGCCCCGTGGTGCGTGGCCCCGTGGTGCGTGGCCCCGTGGTGCGTGGCCCCGTGGTGCGTGGCCCCGTGGTGCGTGGCCCCGTGGTGCGTGGCCCCGTGGTGCGTGGCCCCGTGATGCGTGGCCCCGTGATGCGTGGCCCCGTGATACGTGCGTCTCGTGGTGCGTGGCCCCGTGGTGCGTGGCCCCGTGATGCGTGCGTCTCGTGGTGCGTGCGTCTCGTGGTGCGTGAATATGGATATCGGTCGGTGAATTGAAGCAGCGTCGCTATGCGACAAGCAAAATGGCGTTGCCTTCAGATAAAAACGTGCTCAAGGCATCGTCCCGTGGAGTGGGGCGTGGCAGCTGTGTGTGGTGGTAAGAGCGGGTGGTGTAGCGGTAGTGTAGCGGTTAGCGCTCACGGCCAACACCGGTAATGATTATCTGAACCGGTCCTGAGCCTCCCCTCGCTCGACTCGGCTTCAGTTAAGTACCTGGTACTTAAATGACGTTTTTTTTCCGAGACCAAGGTGCTCCGCAAACCCTCGGGCTGCCATCAGAGATTTGTTCATGAAGCCATCCAGATGTACAAACCCAGACAAAACTTTAATCGAGAAGATGGATTCAGATTAAGCAATCATTGGAAGGACGTGATAAACCACGTCAAGTTTTAACTGCTGTGGTTTGGACTCGCCCACCCGTGCTGTTTTCGTTTACTAATTCAAGCTGATTGACATGCTCATTTCTCCAGCTCCCACCCGTCCCTGCACGCCACACACCCTCCCCCCCTCTCCCCTGTGAACTCCTTCAGCCACGACTCCACAAACCCCCCCCCCCTTCCCCCCCCTCTCCCCCGTGCCTATATAAAGCCACAACAGCAGATGATTCTTTCTCACCTGATGAAGGACGCTTGTGTTGCGACCGGAAAGTCGTGTTCTTTATTTATTTATTTCCCTACCTACGTGAAGAACCAGAGAGTTAAGTACCTGGTGTGGTGTGTAAACATCGGCACTTGCAAGACAAGTCGACCGGGCGTGGTGCTGGCCCACCCACCCCGTCGTGTGCCGTGCCGGCCTTCATAGGTGCTGATCGCCAACAGCACTTGCCCCAAAAGCCCGTTCAGGCTATACGGGGTATATTTGTCTTTGGTGGTAGGGGTCACATTCTCACCACGTGCGCGCGTGCAGACGGAGGAGTGCCTCCGCTCCCTGCTGGGGGTGGCGCTGGCTCTGGCCTCCAGCCCGCGACCCTCCGACCCCTCGACGGCCGCCCCCCTGCTGGCCCTGCTCGTGCGCTGGGCCCCCCACGCTGCCCTGAGCCGCGTGCTACCCTCGCACACATCGGTAGCCGACGCCTTCCCGCACCCGGAGATATTTTTCTAGCGTCTGTGGTCCACAGTCATTCAGCAGTTGAACATCTGTATGATGGATAACGCTACCATTTCATTTCTGAACACTGAGTGGGGGGGGGGTCAGACAGGGGGAATAGGGATTCTAGTGACGAGTGAGAGAGATGTGGAGAGAGACAGGGAAATGGACGTAGAGCAAGAGAGACAGAGAGAGGGACACAGAGAGAGTAAGAATAAGACAGAGAAACTGACTGAGACGACTGAGAGATACAAGGAGACAGACACATGGAGAGAGTGATACAGAGACGCAGAGAGGACAAACAAAGACGGACATTAAGCAAGAGACAGCGGGACATAGAGAGACAGACCACGCAGTACACAGAGAGGGACACAGACAGAGAACAACAGAGGCGACACACATTGAGACAGACAAGGAGAGAGACGGACACTGTTTTACGGTCCCTATCTCGAGGGCCATGTGCTCGTACAGTTGTTACAGTGTATCTATGTTGAACTTCTTTCGCACCGTACGGAGCCAACCTCACTCCTAACCGTGCTACTAACGGCCCATCACGACTAAAGTGTCCGCGAGAGCCACCTCTTGCCTCATGGAGAATAAAACGTTCACTCCGGCTCGTGTGAGCATGCCCTCGTCTCCGTCGCCCCCCCCTCCAGGAGGACGGCGTCGAGGAAACGTGTCCAGGAGGGCGAGGCGTCGGAGAGGTCACGGGGGCGGATGCCGTCTCTTCAGCCTCCCGGCTGGATGGGGTCCAAGACAAAACAGACCGCAGCCTGGAGTCCAACACGCTGGCAGGTTTGGTTTGCACGGTGGCTGCACGGCCGGCACCGTGTCGTCACCGCCGGCGCAGGTGACCCGGCCCGCCGTGATGCAGTCAACGCCGAGCGCATTCACGAGCCGGACGGAAACGGCGTGGTCATTTGCCGACGATTGGCAGAATCCCATGTCGTGCACACAGAAATTATTTTTTTGTGTGGGTGACGAAAAAAAAGGTTCCTGTAGCTGATGCTTGAAGGGTTGGTTTGTGGGGCTGCCCATTGGAATCAACAGTGCAGCAGTGTGTGTGTGTGTTTGACAGTTTAGCAAAGCGGAGAGCAGTTTTGCATCTGCCAGTCAGTCTGGTCTGTTGATCAACAAACGACTGCCTTTGTCCTGTGACTTGCAAGAAAGCCTTCGGCACTTCACGTGGGCCACCAAAGTGCACCCAGCCTCGCACAAAAATCATGGTAAGGGGCCATCCATTTAGTACGTACGCAAAAATCTGTAAAAACTTGACTCCCCCCCCCGTTTCCTATGCCTACGTACATTGTCAGTAGACCCCCCCATACGCAAGCGTACGCATTTGGGTTAATCCCCCCCTCCCCCCTCCATGCGTACGTACTAAATGGATGGCCCCTAACTCTACCGACAGTGCCGAATGGTGGTGCGGATATTAGGATTATGAATTGCATTCAGCACTGAAACGATAAAGTGCCTCAAAGTGCCGTGTGTTTACAATGCGACCTGTGGCCTCGTGGTTTGCACGCTCTGCTACAAACCCAACGGCCTGGCAGACATCAGTGGCGAGTAATATCAGAACCAGTCCCGGGCCTCCCCCTGCGTCAACCCGGCCTTAACTAGGTGCACGGGTGCAGTCGCGTGCAATGGACACCGACACCAGGGAGATAAAAGTCGTCTGGTCATGGTGCCGATGCCGCCGACCGGCCTCGCGCGCCCCATGCCGGGCCCTGACGCGTGGCGCTCGCCAACAGCAAATTGCCCCGACAGTCTACCACGAGGGCGGGGGGGGGCGGGGGAGGACACCGCACGGCCGTTGTCTTTGTTTTTGCATCGTACTGCTCCAGTGATGGGCGTGCTGGTGTCGGGCCTGGAGGCCGACGTGGCGGTGGCCGAGCACAGCCTACTGGAAGCGGCGGGCACGCGGCCCATGTACGGTCGCCTGCACGCGGCCGCTCACCTCCTGCACGGCACTTGCCCGGGGTGAGTTTTCTGGGCCGGCGCGAGACCGCTCGCTGCAACGATACTGGGCTGGGGGGGGGGGGGGGGGGGAGCTTTGGGTTTTCTTTTCTCGTGGGGCCTGCAAGCATGGCTCAGTCGTGACGGTGCAGAGACCGCTTTTCCCTTTATCGCCCTCGTCGTTTCATTTCCCCCAAGTGAAAGCCGTGTGCTGCGGAACATCCGCTCCGTGCATAAATGCAAATCTTTAAATCCTTAACCCGTCGTGCTGTCAGCATCGTACTGTCGCGCGGAGAGTGGTGGCAGTGTGCCGCGTTCGAGAACGGCCTCTGGAAGGTGATGTCACTGAGGTCTGTTCATTTGCCTCTAATCCACACGACGTAGTGCCTGCCACCTACCCACCTGTCCTGCTGTGTAGAGCTTTATACTTCATGGCCATCCAACTATTGGAATAAACCAAAGTAAGTTCAAACAAAATGTAACCGCCATTTTTTTCACGGTCAATGGTTACCTGACTGGCTCGCTACATTTGAGAACCTGGTTTCTGCATGCGACAGGAAGCTAATGTGCCCGGAACAAACACGGATTCCAGTGGATTGCGCTCAAACTCCATGCCCATCAATCACCTACTTGCAGTTTGTTGTTCACTCGGTGGTGGTGGGGGGCGGGGGGGTCTCACAGGTAATGGTTCCACCGCTGCCGCTTGCTCGTCACAGGTGCGCATCTTGGTCATCACTCGGGGCCTGTGGTCTATAATTTGTGACCAGGTCGCTTCTGAAAAAGAAGCTCATAAGCTCCGTGGGTTTCACCTGGTAAGATTAAAAAAAAAGGTTTATAAAAAAAAAAGGTTTATAAAAAAAAATTGAAGTGATTTGTTTACCTTTTCTATACTTTTGCTTGTCGTTCTGACCTGCCCCTGCTGGACATCTGTGACAAAGAGCTTTACAGCTCATCGGATTCCTCCAGTATAAGTAAATAATCTGATCGATTCTAATTCGGTGGCATGGGTGTTGTAGCTCTCTGTGTGCCGAGCCCGCGTGGCAGCACCTGCTGGAGAGGCTTCTGTCGGCCGCTTGGCGCGTGTCCCGCATCGCCTCCCGCGTCGTCAACAGCTCCTCGCCTGAGGGCTTCATCCCGGACCGCCCCGGCACCGGTGAGACTCCGTGCTCTGGTCGCCCCCACCCCTAACGCCACCAACGCCGCCGCCGCCAATCTCGGCGTTTTGCCGACGCGTCGCTGTGCTCGGCGCTCGCGAGCCGAGCATGCGCGAGCCTCGAGTTTGCTCGAGTGCGCGGTTCACATTGTCGTGGAGCGACACCCGCTCGCGTGAAGCGTACTGCGATACCTGCAGCGCCGACGGGCGGTGGAATAGAACCAAAGAGTAACAAAAAAGAGATTGCATTCTGATTCGTTGGCCAGCAAGCAGGAGTGCACGTGGTGCTGCCTGCCGTTACCTGCTCGGTCGCAATCAGTGCCCATGAGAAATATATTTTTGTTCACTTTACTCGCCGAACAAAAGGAATATAATTGTTGAAAAGACGCAGGTCTAAAACACAAAAGGCTATGTACGTACATATACACGGCGATTCTATGGGAGGTAACCAGAGTGGAATGAAGAGGCATACTTGAGCAGCATGGAGTGCTTTTTCAATTTCTTTATAAATATCCTGCCAAGAGCATAAAATGTCAAATCGGTGCGTATTACCTGCCATTACAAGCTGGGAATGCACACCGAGAGACACTGAAAGGAACACGAAGATTCGAGAACAAATTATAATTAGACTCCTTATTGGCCGTTGAGAAGCCGCGCGCGCTTGAGATGAACACCGCCACTGGCTGGGACGAGACTGGTGAAGGAATGGCAACGACACCAGGGAACAACGTCCCCAAGAAGATGACCAACGTGGAGGAGGAGGAGGGATATGATCAGCTCATACACGGGAGCGAGATGGATTTAAAAACACGGCAGTACTGGAAGTGATGGAAATGGCATGAGCAGCCTTTCATCCAGCAGTGGATAGGTAATGGCTGACAATTTCTAATGGAACACAAAAAAATGCAAATCACTGCCGGAGGACTCTTCGGCAGTGATTTGCATTTTTTTTTGCATTTGCAACGGGCAAGTGCAAGACAAACTCGGGCCACATGTGCCAGCGGTCCTTCTGTCACCGGTGGGAAACCAGCCGGTCCCGGGTGTTGCCACGCCGACGGCAAATGGTATGCGTGCCACCGGAGAGTGGAGGGTTGCCGTCGTCGCCAAATATTTGCCTGCCGCGCTTGGCCGTCTGCCCGGTGCCACTCGAGGAATTTTTGAGTGGAGCTTTTTTAAAGCTGTGAGGTGGGAAAGAGGCCAGCAGGAGGCGACACACAACCGCCGGTGCAAAGCGTAGCAGCCCGTGGCTCCTCTGTTCGGGAGTGCAACAAATGAGACGAGATCGTGACTACAGTGCGGTACAATCTGGCTTGGTTTTATTGAATCTTTTCGATGCTAAAAGTATCGCAAAGGGCGCAGCTGCAATCGGCCGCGGTGAAGATCAGGGGGTAAGGGCAGGACAAGGGATCTGTCGTCGTTTGCGTGGACACGCGCACAATTCTTTGTCTGGCTCATGAAGCCCCTTCTGGCTCGTGACCGTCCCACTGTCCGTGACCGCAAGCCGCTCCATGTGAACAGCGAGAGATGTGCGTCACAGCCTTTCTCGGCGCTCGCTCCCATGTGTATATCTTTGTCCTTGTTTTATTTCAGGTTGCATTCTTTTTGGTGTAGCGGTTTCCTGTGTTAAATCTCGATTAAAAAAACAATTTTCTTTAGAATCGCTTTTTGTATTTAGTTTGTTGTCTTTCCCAGCACCTCCGATTAGCACAGTGGGCTACGTGTGGTGTGAAAGAAGTTCACCATGCAAACATACGTTTAAATCAAAGCATAGCAGGGACTGTATGTACATGTGGACCTAAGTTAACTGGTCCAGCACCAAAGGGAGCTGGGAATGGCTTCTCTGAGTGCTCGTGAAATGAACGTGTCTGACACCCATCAGCGTAAACTTCCCATAATCTGGCAAACCCACAGCTGTGAGAATGCAGAGATGACTCCAGCCGAACCAAACCCAAGGTCAAAAGGTTATCATGGCCATTACAGTTGATGCCACCACAGTCATCATCACTTGCTTCCTTCACTCAATCCTGTAGTTGCTGCAAAGACGAGATCCGTCCTCCATGGGTCGCTCTTAACAGTATCCCACCATTGGCTGGAGGTTTTTTCCCTTGGTCACCAGAACCCTGTCCGATTCGGTCAGTAACGTGACCCCTGCACATTCGTCCCATCCATCAAAACCTCCCTTCAGTGTCTTAATGTCCTTCCCTTACCGTCCCCTATTCCAAATGTCCCAAGTTTCCTACCACCCTATCCTTCCACGAAACCAAATGCTGCACATTGTTTCCCGAGGCTTGCACTGCGCCGCCCGAATGCTCGTCGAGCCGTGTCTGTGCCGAGAATGCTCGCGAGTAGAGGAGGGAGGCCGGGCTCGCGCGTTGCTCGATCCGTGCCGCTGTGGACTTCGCAGGCGCGGGCTGCGTCGCGGCCGTGGAGGAGGAACGCGAGGGCACGCGCAGCGTCACCGCGCAGGCCGTGCTGCTCTGCTGCTGGCGCAGCATGAAGGAGATCTCGCTGCTGCTCGGGCAGCTCTCCCAGCATGCCGCGCTGCAGCCCGCTCAGGTAACCAACTTCCGAAGCAGCGTGCTCTCCCCCGCCCCCGCCCTCCCCCCACACCACAGAAATCCACCAGCCGTGCGTGAGAGCCAGGCAGTAAGCAGGCAGCAGATTCACCCACTCCATGCTTTGGAAAGTTTTTGTGATTCGCAAGTCACTATTGGATTTATTTCGGGCGGCGGGGTGGTGTTTCGTTGCCATTTCGGCGCATGTCGATTCTGTGTCGGTGCAAATGCACCGTCAGTCTACTGGTGGATGAGGACGTCGGCACACTCTGGGGGCCGCGGGGGTTGCCACACTTCACCACGCTGGTCAGCGCGGCTTTATGAAGGCGGGCAAGTGGGAGCGTAGAAGCACAGCGCGTTTCAGGCCATTTGGATACAGTCACAAATAAAGATTCGTCAATAATCGGCCCTCGCAAGAAGAATTCGCCGCGTGAGAATATAACTCTTGGGTTCTATCCGACGAAGGCAGACAAGTCGCGAACGCGTCCGCGGGCATCGAGGTTTGCCGAATACTGGAGCGCCGCGCGATTAAATGTTTTTCCAGCGCTAAATCCGTTCTGGCCGCCGAGTTGCCCTCGATGCGATGCGCGCGCGCGCGTGTGTGTGTGTGTGCCCGCGGCCGTGCAGATGGAAGCCGTGGGCCACTACTTCCGCCAGCAGCTGCTGGAGTCGAGACACCGTGGGGCCTTCGAGTTGGCCTACGTGGGATTCGGAAAACTCGTCGACGCGCTCGCTCGGTGATGGGCTCGCCCCTCACCCACGCTTACTTACCCCCACCTCCCCCACTCACGATTACCGCTCCCTACAATCCTGGCCCAACCACATCTTGCCCCGAAGCAGAGCCTGCAGCTTCCCCGGAGAACATGTTTCTTCATGTTTTCCCGCTTGTCAGATTTTCCAATTTAAAATGCAGACAAGTTAAACGCACTTCCCAAGACTGTGTCAGTATTTAGTTGTGGTCAAATAGCTCTGAGACTTTCTTTGCATTGTTTAAACCAAAATTGAAGTTGTTGTTAATGCACCGTGTCTGTGCATTTCCGCAGAGCCCTGCTGAGACGATCGTTCTCTTTGCCATTTTTTTTTCCTCCTCTTAAAACATCCCATCAGCCTCTTGTCCTCCACCCCGGTGACAAGGAGGCCTTTGTTTTTGTTTAGTTATTTATTTTGTGTGCACATTTATGTAATCTCTCAGCAAGAGACACTCAAGAGATGACACGTCAACCCTTTATCAGTGATGGAGGAGAGGCCCTCGGAGGCACGAGGTCACAGGGCAGCGGCAGATAACTGATTATAAAGGTGATCCGGAGTGCCGGTCGCTTTTATTTCTGGCGGTCAGGAGCCCGCGGGACACTTTCATGGCGTTATCGGCCGCGTGCTGCGAATTGGCGCAAAGTTGAAGTGCTGATGCCAGTGACGCACGCGCACTCGGGAGCACACGCACAGCGGGTGCGGCGCTGCCGGCCTGATGCGCTGTCTCCAGATTTGGCATGAAAACATGTTCTCCAAGTTATTTCATTTGTATGTGCATTGTGTGTGTTGTGCGTGCATCCTCCTGTGGGGAGCGGTGGGTGCACTGCGGTATGAACCCGGCACCACAGTTCCGATTCCCGCTCACGGCCAACACCAGTGACAATTATTCGAACCGCTTCTGGGCGTCCCCTAGGTTGACTCAACCTCAATATCGCCACGAGGGAGAGAAAGGCGGCCGGACAGGGTGCTGGCCACCCACCCCCTCGTATGCCCTGCCGGCCTTCTTGGATGCTCGCAAACAGCACTTGGTCCTCCAGTCTTCTAAGGGCTATACGGAGGAGGGGGGGGGGTGGGGTGGTCTGTCTTCGTACACCGTTGTTCACGTGTGTGGTCGTGCATCCGTGCCCTGTGTGTTTTTTGTCGACGTTTTTGGGGTGGCCATCGCAGAAGTGAGGACCCGGCCTTGCAGGCCCTGCCGCGGCAGTGGCTGGAGGCGGTGCTCGGCGAGGTGAAGGAAAGTGCCGCGGCTTCCAAGCTGTGCGCCACGCGGCGCAGCGCTGGAGTGCCCTTCTACATCCAGGTGTGCGCCGGCAGCGCCGCTCGGCGGTCTCATGCCAGCCAACGCGGCCGGGCCTCGTCCGCGCCCGCCGGGCCCTCGGCTACGCCCATCGGGCCGTTGCTCAGGGGTTCAAAAGCACCGCGCTGCATCCCCAGTGACCTTGGTCCAGTTCTAAAGCAATGATTGATTGCATCAGTGCCAAGTGGGGCCCCACAAGCCAAGCTGGCCTTATATAAGTGTACTCGGGGTGGCGTGTGACCATGAGTAGCAGAGAGACGTAAGCAGTCGTGTACGCTAATAGCACTCATCGTATTAGTTGGTGTGACTAAACTGTCTTCTTTTTTTATACAGTTACTTTGATATGCACAATTAAAATATCTTGCAAGGCTTTGGTGAGTGTGCAGAAATGCCGAGCAACACTGCCATGGCTAATTTGTTGCTTATGCAATGGGTTGGCAGATCGCTTGCTGTTTATCACATTTGTCTCAATTTCTGAGAAAAGCAGCGTCGCTTGGCTCTCTAAACTGTGCTGCACGGGGAGCCAGACCACGCTGCGGCCCCAGTCGTGAGAGAACCCGAGCCACCAGACTGCCCACTCTCCTCAACTCTTCCTCGGTGGACAGCCTGCCGAGTCTTTGATCGTCCGTGTGCCCCGTGTGTCTGCGCGCGCACGTCAGGCGCTGGTGTCCGCTGAGCACAAGCGCTCGGGACGCTCCCTGCTGCGCACCGCCATGACCCAGCTCCTGCCTCTTGCGCTGCCGCAGGGAAAGGGTCCCGATGAACCCAGCGTCCACGCCCAGGTATGCGGAACCCCGGGGAGACCAACCGCAAAGAGAGAGATGGAAAAACAATCCCTTGGGCACAATAACCCCCAGGCTGCCTTATTGCTGTCCTACACGGCAAGCTGAAAGACAACAATTCTGTTTCACTAGTAGCGGCCTAGAGTGCAGAGCTCCTGTCTCAAATTGACCAGGTGGCTGATGTGGTCAGCAAACATGACTTGGTGCAGCGGCAGAAACCTAATAACTTGACAGCGCAACACGAGTTGTTTGTCAACATCCCCACCGCCACTAGAGATGCTGCGATGTTAAAATAATAGATTCTTGAAATCATGACCCTGAATCTGGGCTAGTGAATTGCAATGGAGTTAATGGAAAAGCTAAGCTTGAATGCAAGCGTCTATGCTGTCAGATTTGTGCCGAGCCACAGCCACAGAGTGGTGACGTCTGTGCCCACCCATTCGCCCTTTTACTCACGACCCAGGTGCACGCGCTCAATATCTTGCGGGCTCTGTTCCGCGATTCACGGCTCGGCGATCACATGACCACGTACGTCCCCGACGCGCTGCAGGCTGCCATCCTGGGGTTCGCGTCGCCCGTCTGGGCCGTGAGTACATTTACTTCACCCCGTTTAGTTTACTTAAAGCCGGTCAATTGTAACGATTCAGAGCAGTGGCGTCGCTCTTGTGCGCGCTCTCGATAGGTCCGCGGTCTCAACCACGTTTCGCCGGTCTCCCACCATCCCTCCAGGTGTGCAACTCCTGCACGCTGCTGTTCAGCACCCTCATCACGCGGGTGTTTGGAGCGAAGAGGTCACGCCGTGAGCCCATTGGCAGCAACAGGTGGGCATGGCGGGGCCCAGAAACGTGGGCACACTCTTAAATGCACACAAACTTCGCACCAAGCTACCAGGCCACGAAAATTTGGTGACAGTTGCCAATAAAGTTTCCGCTGCTCATCGCGTGCCGCTCCATCCTCACCGCGCCGGCTCGTTGCGTGATGTTGAGAAGGTAGGTGTTCAATTATCACTTTCTAGCAGAGGTCCCACAATAGCAAACACCTGGGCTGGCAGTGGACGAAAGTGGCATTGCCAAAAAGGCCCCTCCTTACACATCCACATGCCCCAAACACCCGCAAATCAATACCGTTGGTTTAAAAAGCCAGCCTTTTACGTCAGCAAAAATAAAAACATAATTTGCTCCAGGAAGTCTCAATAGCTGCATGGGATGGCATTCGCAATGTTTGGGGAGTAAACTCAAAGGAGGGTGAGGCAGCTTTTAGGTGGGGTAGCCTGATGGTGGCGAGGCCGACAGGTGGGGTGGCCTCATGATAGTGGTCTCCACGTGGAATGACCTTAAGGTGGAGTGGTTTAGGGTGGGATGGCTTTCAAGATGCCATCAATTCACTTGGATGGCTGGGATCCGCTGCATCGATCCCCGATGACCTTTGCGTATGGCTTCGTCCAAAGTCTCATTGACAGAAGGTGCCGAGTGATTGACCATTCGATGCATTCTTCAAAATGGGGTGGCCGCCACATCCCAGATGAAACGTGAAGTTAGCCCCATGTTGTACAGGGTCAGCTGTGCTCACACGGGGCCAGGCCGGGCCTCGGCGTCGGTCTCACCATGCCACGTCCGCCGTCCGTGTTCCCGCAGAATGACCGGGCGGGAGTTTTTCTCCAGGTACCCCTCGCTCCATCCGTTCCTCCTCGAGCAGCTGAGCCATGCGGCCTCCACGTGCTCCCGCAGGTACCGCAGCAGCGTTCAGCCGATGGCTTCTCAGGCCTTCGCGCCATATGTTTTTGGAACATTCATATATTTGTAAATTAACTTTTCCCCAATCATACCAAATGTGTGCAATTGGCAGTCCCTTCTGAACTCATTCAGAGAGCAGTGGAACGTCACTTTGTTTATAGAACAGACTCTGGAAGATGATGTTCTAGAACTACTTCTGAGATCATTTTGATCGCCTCTCATCCACACTGGGTAGTGAATCTTACGCTACATGTTTAAGGGGCTACTTGTTTGTGCCACCTGGTCTAAAACGAGTTGCTACTTTCTTACGGAGTATCGCCATCATGAAGATTATTAACCATCCTATAGATTTAACATCAATTGTTGAGCAGTTAATGCCAAGGCTGATTGCACAGCTGCTGTCAGTGAACCTGGCAAGAAGTGCTGTGCACTGATTATGGCGTCGTTGTCTGTGTGTGTCCGTGCGTATGTACATGTGCATGTAAGGGGAGCGATAGTGTAGCGGTTAGCGCGCTGCGCTATGAACCTGGCGACCCGGGTTCGATTCCCGCTCACGGCCAACACCAGTGACGATTATCTGAACCGGTCCTGAGGACCTGGTGCAGTGGATAAAAACATTGCCACTGGGGAGACAAAGGCGGTCGGGCGTGGTGCTGACCACCCACCCCCTCATGTACCGTCCCGGCCTTCATATGTGCTCGCTAACAGCACTTGCCCCAACAGTCTGTTAAGGCTAAATGGAGGATCTTTATCTTTATGTGTGGGGAGAGGGAGTGCAGCAGCAGTTAGTGCACTGCACTACGAACTCGGCGACCCGAATTCGATTTCCGCTCTCGACCAACACCAGTGACGTTTATCTGATCCGCGCTTGGGCCTCGCCTAGGTGCCCGGTGCAGTGTGTAAAAATCACCACTCAGGAGATAGGGGGAGCTGGGCGTGGTGCTGGCCACCCAACCCCTCGTGTGCCGTGACGTTCTTCATAGGTGCTCACCAAGAGCGCCGTCCGCAAAAGTCTGCTAAGGCTATATGGGGGGGGGGGGATCTTTGTTGTATGTGCGTGTGCGTGCTCGCAAGCAGCGGTGGCGATGCGGTGGGTACGGCGAGCTTACAGCCGGCGCTCTTCCCACTGCTGCTGCTCCTGGCCAAGCTCTACCCGTCCCCCATGGACGGCACTTACACCGAGCTTAGCCTGGCGCCATTCCTGCCCCTGCTCGTCCGGTACCACCGTCGCACCAGACCCGGCGTCCACCGTAACTCACCACCCCCTCACTTTGCCGGGCTGTATTCAGTCATCCGAGTACGGGAGCGAGATTGATTGTTGCATCGTCAGACTGTCACAGGTAGTGATGGCTTGGGGATGCTGATATTGATGATCCAATTATTATTACAGAGACAGGCACTGGAATGGCACCCGTGAGGTTGGTGGCGACCAAGAGTAAGACCGGAGTGGAGGGGAGGGCCTAATTCTAGCCAAAGCGATATCATTTAGAGTGAACCATGGCAATCTGGTTTTGAGCGCAACGTCTACGGGGCTTTAGCAGCAGACGCAACGGACAAGTGTGGTGGCCATGGCCGTGAAGAACTCTTCACCGTGACACCCGTGCGACGTGTCGCTGAACGCAGGACGCAAAGCTGCGTCTGTTTCACAGTGAAAACCGTTTTGTAGGAGTATTGTTGCGGTCGCTTAGTGTTTTCTCCTCCCACACGCGGTGTTTTTGGGGTGGCTGGTTCAGCCACCGTTACATCCAGGCGCATATCTCGTCGCCTCCAACTGCGTATTTGACCGGTGTGCCATCTAAACCGAAGCAATGGGTGCCGAAACGGTCAGGGCGTTTCTCCTACCCGCTCCGTGCCAGCACTCGCACGTTCCGTCTCCTTTAATTCACCCAAGTTGACTTCCCCCGGTACACGAATTGCGGGGGGAAAACAGAGAAGAAAAATATACACGACACCGCTGTCTCTCTCTCTCTCTCCGTGAACGCCCAGATCACAGCGGTGACGACATTGACTTTAAAAAAAGATTACGCATCTTATACGTAAGAAGGAATCTTGTGTTGGTGGTGGCCACCCTTGCTGGGGTGGACTGGGTTTTACGATGCGTTCGTGCGTTCGTGCGTGTGCGTGTGTCCTTGTAGCTAGGTGTGCGAGCGTGCATGTGTTTAAAGTTTGCCCGGCTTTCAGGAATGCTCTTCCATTATAAAGGTTCCCCCCCCGCCCCCACCCCCCCATATGGAAAGGCTCGACCTCCAGGCCTGGCCTTCAAGGCCGGGGCAGCCTAAACGCAACGCAGATTACCGCAGCGCCAGCCCCACCGCGTGGGGGCCGCACTCCGCATTCCTCGTTCGGACCCCGCTCGCCGAGGAGGCCACAGAGACCGCCCCCCCCCCCCCCAGCTCCGCGGGCAGACGAGGCAGAGAGTATAAAACTCGACTCTGGCGGAGAGGGAGGGAAGGGGGTGCAGTAGTGAGGAGGAGGAGGAGGGAAAACCTCAGACGCTCTTTCACGCGCAAATCACAAAAGCAGCGTTTCACAAATCAAGATTTTTGTTTTGTTTTTAGAAATCGGTCTACATTTTTTTCTTGAGGAATGGCAGGGGAGGCAGGGAGGGGTGCGACATGGGCCCGGCGTGCGTGTGAAAGCGCACGAGTGTGCGTACGCAGAGGGAACAGCCATCACAGTTAATGAATCGCCCCTCGCTAAGTCAAACTTAGACACTAATTGCTACGGGGCTGGTTTTTAATCATCGCACTGTTTTCTTTACTGGGGGTAATAACTAATAGCTGTAATTTTTTTTTGCGTTTTCGTTGCATTTGCGCTGCTGAACTCGCCTGCGCATGTGGAAAGTATGCGTGCGTGTTGGTGTGTGTGTGTGTGTGCATGCACACACACACACACACCAACACGGTAGCGCAGTGGTGCAGTGATTAGCGCGCTGCGCTCCGAACCCGCCGACCCGAGTTCGATTCCCGCTCACGGCCAACAGCAGTGACGATTATCTGAACAGGTCCCGATGTGGTGTGTAAAACATCGCCACCGGAGAGACAAAGGTGGCCGTGTGTGTGGCGCTGGCCACCCACCCCCTCGTGCACTGTCAGCCTTCGTAGGTGCTCGCTAACAGCACTTGACCCAACAGTCTTAAGGCTATATGGGGGATCTCTGTGCGCACGCGCGCGCATGTGCATAAGGCATGTGTGCTTGCGTTTCTCCTTTTTTGTTCGTCAGCATGTGTTTGTGTTTATAACACGGAGCACTCGATTAGTCCAAACGTTTTGCATGCCCCTTATCGCGTCTTGCCAGCGCTGCAACCGCAGCCTATCGCTCGTGGCAAGCGAGCATCTTCGTGTTTATTTGTTTAATGAGTTCATTTCCTTCGTCCAGCCCCCCCCCTGTCCCTGCATCCCTCCCCCTGCTGCCCCTCCCCCGGTCCGCACCATCTCCGTTGTAACTGTAACCACCACCGCATGCTTGCCTGTTAAAATTAAAATGCAATTTCATGCCGTTGCTGCCAGGCCCAGGGATAGATTTAGACCGAGCGTGGCAGACGCGGTCGCGCAACGGCGGAGACATCTCCGGACCAAACTTTGCTCCTTAACGTTAACACGATGCGAAGAGCACGTACCGGGGCCGGAGAGTGTAAGACCTCCTTCGAATAAGCCACAAGTAATGCAACCTTGGGACTATTCTAAGAAAGTGGGGGGAATTGACAGATTTGAAATGTCAAGTTTCATCATGCTTGGCTTTGTGGCACCACCACTGTCGTTACTTTTTTTTTGTCTGTAAGCATCCAGTAAATAAGGAAAAGCAAAGAAACCCTCGACCAATTTTGGCTGTAAGTGTGAAGGCAGACGAGTTGAGCCCTCACTCCCTTCTCAAGTTCCTGTTCTCTTGTTCCTGTTCTCTCGTCTGTCCCACACTCCCCAGTCTCAAGTTCCTGTTCTCTTGTTCCTGTTCTCTTGTCTGTCCCACACTCCAGTCTCTAGTTCCTGTTCTCTTGTCTGTCCCACACTCCAGTCTCTTGTTCCTGTTCTCTTGTCTGTCCCACACTCCAGTCTCTAGTTCCTGTTCTCTTGCCTGTCCCACACTCCAGTCTCTTGTTCCTGTTCTCTTGTCTGTCCCACACTCCAGTCTCTAGTTCCTGTTCTCTTGCCTGTACCACACTCCAGTCTCTAGTTCCTGTTCTCTTGTCTGTCCCACACTCCAGTCTCTAGTTCCTGTTCTCTTGCCTGTCCCACACTCCAGTCTCTTGTTCCTGTTCTCTTGTCTGTCCCACACTCCAGTCTCTAGTTCCTGTTCTCTTGTCTGTCCCACACTCTAGTCTCTAGTTCCTGTTCTCTTGTCTGTTCCACACTCCCCAGTTTCTAGTTCCTGTTCTCTTGTCTGTCCCAGACAACAGTCTCTAGTTCCTGTTCTCTTGTCTGTCCCACACTCCCCAGTCTCTAGTTCCTGTTCTCTTGCCTGTCCCAGACAACAGTCTCTAGTTCCTGTTCTCTTGTCTGTCCCACACTCCCCAGTCTCTAGTTCCTGTTCTCTTGCCTGTCCCACACTCCAGTCTCTAGTTCCTGTTCTCTTGTCTGTCCCACACCCCAGTCTCTAGTTCCTGTTCTCTTGTCTGTCCCACACTCTAGTCTCTAGTTCCTGTTCTCTTGCCTGTCCCACACTCCAGTCTCTAGTTCCTGCTCTCTTGTCTGTCCCACACTCTAGTCTCTAGTTCCTGTTCTCTTGTCTGTCCCACACTCCAGTCTCTAGTTCCTGTTCTCTTGCCTGTCCCACACTCTAGTCTCTAGTTCCTGTTCTCTTGTCTGTCCCACACTCCCCAGTTTCTAGTTCCTGTTCTCTTGCCTGTCCCACACTCTAGTCTCTAGTTCCTGTTCTCTTGTCTGTCCCACACTCCCCAGTTTCTAGTTCCTGTTCTCTTGCCTGTCCCACACTCCAGTCTCTAGTTCCTGTTCTCTTGCCTGTCCCAGACAACAGTCTCTAGTTCCTGTTCTCTTGCCTGTCCCAGACAACAGTCTCTAGTTCCTGTTCTCTTGTCTGTCCCACACTCCAGTCTCTAGTTCCTGTTCTCTTGTCTGTCCCACACTCCCCAGTCTCTAGTTCCTGTTCTCTTGTCTGTCCCAGACAACAGTCTCTAGTTCCTGTTCTCTTGTCTGTCCCACACTCCAGTCTCTAGTTCCTGTTCTCTTGTTCCTGTTCTCTTGTCTGTCCCACACTCCAGTCTCTAGTTCCTGTTCTCTTGCCTGTCCCAGACAACAGTCTCTAGTTCCTGTTCTCTTGTCTGTCCCACACTCCCCAGTCTCTAGTTCCTGTTCTATTGTCTGTCCCACACTCCCCAGTCTCTAGTTCCTGTTCTCTTGTCTGTCCCAGACAACAGTCTCTAGTTCCTGTTCTCTTGTCTGTCCCAGACAACAGTCTCTAGTTCCTGTTCTCTTACCTGTCCCGCACTCCAGTCTCTAGTTCCTGTTCTCTTGCCTGTCCCGCACTCCCCTGTCTAGCCCATTCTTTCTCATCTATCCCACATTCACATCTGTAGTCCATGCTCGACGAAGTTCCTGACCATGAAAATACTGATGGCCATTACACAATATTGGGCCTGTGAGTCACAGGTAGAACAATCCTATTTTGGGCTGTGGATCGGTGTGTGTGCGTGTGCCCGTGTGCCCGTGTGTGCTTGTGAATTTGTGTGAGGAAGTGGTGTAGTGGGTTACGCACTTCGCTATAACCCTGGTGACCTGGGTTCAACGCAAGTGGCACTTAGTATTTGAACTTCTACCAGACCTCCTTTAGGTCAGCAGTCTTAAATTATGTACCTGGTGTAAACATCAGCACTTGGAAAGACAAAGACGGTCGGGCATGGCTCTGGCCTGGTTTTGCCTTGTGAATCTTCCTAGCTGCTTGCTAACATCACTTGCCCCTACATTACGGTATGTAAGGATAAATGGGGGATGTGTTGTATGTGCTTGAGTGCATGAGTGGTGGAATGGCTGTTCGCGCACTGCGCAAAGAACCCAGCTGCCTGGGTTCGATTGCCAACCACGGCGAACATCAGCGACAAGTAATATCTGAAACAGTCCTGTGCCTCCTCTGGGTCCACTCAGCCTTAAATCATTTACTTCGTGCGGTGTATAAACAACAGCACCGGAGGGACAAAGGTGGCCAGAAGTGGCGCCGTCCACGCCGCTCCCCCTAGTGTGCCGTGCCGGGACTTAATAGGCGCTCGTTAATGGAAGTTTGCCCCGACCATCTATGTCGGCTACACGAAATGTCTTTGCCGCCTGTCTTTTGTGCTTCGCGCGATTCCAGGTGCGGGGGGTCGCCCGTGTGGCGCGCCCGCGTCATGGCCGCCCACGCGCTGGTCGCCTTCATCCCGGCCGCGGCGGCGACGCGAGTTCTGTGCGAGCTCCTGGACTCGCTGCCCCGGGGCCTACGGCAGGCGGACGGCGCGAGCAACCGCACGCACGGCACCCTGCTGCAGGTTTGCGCTCACGGCGGCGGTGGGGGGGGGGGGTCCCTTGCTGCAGGTTTGTGCAGCAGGGGTGATGAAAGCATGGATGAATTTGAACTCCCAACCTTGAAGTTGTGATCTGTGCCCTATTAAGTCCCGGGCACAGCCTTGCTGCTCGGCAGGATTAATATATCAGCTCTGGAAGAGGGAAGGGCAGCCAATTTCCAGCAACCCCTACAATAAGTATCGCCACACCACTTCCTACCGTCGGCGCACAGCCCGCGTGACGTCGTCCGCGCGTAGCCAGGCAACGCAGCCCCTGTCCTTTACCACCCGGCGCCGGTAAACACCGCCACCGGTGGTCACGGCGTCACCAGCGGGGGCTGGAGGCACTTGGCGGGAATGGAAGGAGGAGGGGGACGTAGCACATCTGCTCGGGGTTGTGTCGCAGGGAGGACGGTTCGTCCCCTCCCCAGGATCGCTTTGCCCTTCCAGTGGTGCCATGCCACCCGCCTGTGCCCAGCTCCACTGCTGTGTTTGTCTGGGGTGGGCACTGTTTGTGTAGCGGGCACTAGTGCCAGCTCCACTTTAGCCTAAGGCAAGCGCTCGTAATGGCTCGACGACCGAGTGTTGAGTAAACAGCAGCGGTCGCCGTCCTCTCATTGTCGACGGCGCTGTTACACGGTTAGACCAACACCAGGGTAATGTCGTGTCAACACCCGGCACTGAAGGCCCATGTACAACGTATACATCATCACTGCTGTCGTCATCACCACCGTCACCATCATCGACAGTGTTCTCTGCGCGCCAAGTATCTGCGATAGTTGCCTTTGGCATTCCTGGCCCGTGGATGCCAATCAGAGTGCAACAGAGAGTGGCTTAGCTGAGCAAAATTACGCACAGCATAAATCCCCCATTAAGCCGAGTGTAACCTCTATAATGGTCAACAGCCTTTTGTCTCTCGCACGACTTTCTGTCAAAAGGCAGTTCCGCAGCAAAAGGGAGTAAATTATAATGAGCAGGTGCAGCAAAGTGGCAACACAGCTGTGAACAGGGCTGGGCGCTAAAGAGGGAGCAAGGGTGGAATGAAAAGGGGAACAAGACGGGGGGACGAAAGGGGGTCTCTGGAGGGGTCCCGTGCCTCTGCAACCCAGCTTCTATGAGGCCGTGACGTGAAGCCTAATTCTTTGTGTCTCTTACTCTCAAATAACAGGGGCTGTGCGGTGTCACGTGCGCTAATTGAAAAAGAAAAGAACGTATGATTCTGGGAGGCGGCCCCCCCCCCCCCCGGCGTGCTGCTGTGGATGCCCGCGTGTGAGTGGCGACGGAGCGTGCCGACAGTTTTATATTTTCTAAGACATGAGCAAAAACATTTCTACAGTTTTAAGAGGCCATATGGTGGCATTGTAAAGAGGCTCCCAGACCGCAGAGGCCGTTTTACGTTTTATCCTCTGTGCGAAAGGTTTTATTTCATTCTGTGAAAGCAGAAAATAGATGCATTACACCGAACTGTATTAATAAAGTACCCTAGCGAATGGTGGCATGCGGCTATGCTGTGGGGACTGGCGGCTGCAGAGTGAGCCCTGCTCATTTCCCGGCCCTGGCCTCTCCCTGACCTGCACCGGGGCTGTTTCTCAACATCGCTGTTATTTACAGGCCAATCTTTTTTTTAATGTGTACACTCACATATGAGTCACTTATTTTTCTACTTGCCTTATCACTATATTTTCCAATCGTGTGTTTGTATTTACTGTACGTATATGAAACGTACAAAGTTCAAACGGACATTTTGGTTTTACTAAGACTCAACTGCAGCCATCGGCCAACTGACCTTACGAAAGGCAGTCCCATGATTCGTCACCTCTCGGGCTCATCGGCGCGTTCCTTGTCCACGGTACCCCTGCCCATATCACACTGGGCATGGCGTGGCTGGCCACATTTCCCCAATGAACCCCCTCTGAGAACGCAACACGCTCGTGCTTGCTAAACTGTTGGCTAAAGCTGCTCACTCAGAGGAGTTGGGAGGTCTTCCTGCTGAACCTGGAGCGTCCCACTAAGAGGTGGGGCCTTACTATCAGCTCCTCCAAAACTAAGCACCTGCCTGAGTATTTTGTATCATCAAACACTCCACCCCCCTCAACCCCCTATTGGTGATGGAGATGTGGCGAGAGTTGAGAGTTTGCCATACCTGGGCAGTATGCTTACGCTTCGTCTGCTTGACAGCAGAGTTCTCACTCTGAATCAAGTCGGGTGGAATATTTTCAATGGCTGCGTAACGCTGTGTGTAAGCTACCTGGTCTGTCGCTCCACACAAAGCTTTCGGGCCTTCTGTGTCACAGTCAATGCCCTCCCTTCTCTATGCTTTGGAAATGTGGACCCCTCTAATGGAACATCTGTGTTGGTTAGAAACATTAAGGTGCAATTGTTCAAGGCTTGTTTGCCAACAGAAATTAACAGTCATTGTCACGTAAAAAAAAAACACATGGTTTTTAACATTACGGGTGGTTTCTATTTAAAAAGCTCGCTCCAGCAGCATGGCCGCACTGGACCATGGCTGTACATGTGCAAGGGTTGGTCAGAAAGTTTGAGGACATGACGTTAACAGTAATACACTCGGGGCTTATTTATTTTTCAAGTCACCATCTGTGCACTTATTCTATTACGGTAAACGATGAACGCATAAAGATGTCACATGAAAAGAGGGCCTCGCGCAAAATCTGGGCTCACTTTTTTGTTGTTGCCTCATTCTAAAAAAAAAAAAACGATTGGACACTCACGTACACGCGTATGATAGCTACGCGTATGTCCCACACGTAGGTGGCATTGACGTTTGTAAGCGTGTACGCATTCGGAATAGTACTTAGTTCACCGTCAATAACGTGGAGCGTTTTCGCTAGGCCTTCACTTTATCTGTAAATCCGCTGCTAGTGCCATTGTCTCCTTGGCTGTTTCCGAGGCTAAGTTTCCTTCATTAGAAGAAAAAAAACACATCTTTCGTTTTTAACGTTTTCGTTTTTTTCTGGGACGTCCCCAAATAACCTGACAGAAGAGCGAGTAAACGTCCAATTTCAATCCCCCCCCACATCACCACCATCTCCTTCACCCCCCCACCTCCCCCCACCACCACCCCACCACCTCCCCCACCACCGTCTCCATTCCCTGCCAAGCCCCAAGCCAGGGAAGTTACACATATTTTCCGTGATGTCACGGGCGCCCGAGCGAGCCAAAATAAATTCACTTAAAAAGCCTCCAGGGGCGCGCATCTGGCCGAGGCAGCCTGCGCCTTGCAGGACATTGGGTGCACGATCACTGTACTTGCACTGTACTGCGAGTGGTCCTCACCGTCAATAAACTCTTTTGTATTTTATGCTGCGGCCTTAACGAAATGTCTCAAGAGCGCGGGGTTTTGAACCGCTCACTCTACGCACGGCCCTTGCCCACCGCTCGCACGATTTGATTTTGTGATCCCACCAGCCCACACTGTGCAACCCGTCTTCAAACTCGTGGGCACGCTGGCACCAAGCTCGCTCAATGCTTCCCCCACACCCCACACGATCTCACTCAGTCTCGCTCGTTCGTTCGCTCCATTCGCATTACGTTTGCGTGCTCTCTCTCTCTGGCTGGCTGGCTCGCTGGCTCGCACTCTGCACAGAGCCTGTGACAGAAGCGTACTCGCGACCCCCACCACGCTACGTCGACTCTCGGCGTTTACCAATTTACTCCCCCCTCCAAATACGAATTGACTCCATCCACCCTGCACGGGCCCGATGATTGTCAAAACGTGTCCCACGCGACACGCACAGCAATTAATGCGCACGTGTACACGCACACGCCGGGTTCTCAACTTACATCGGCTCTGTTAACGCAGAATGCGTTATTTGCTTAGCGCGTCACGTGGGACGTTTAACAATCATCGGGCCCGTGCGGCGTGGAATGAGTTAATTTGAACGGGGGGTGGTGGTGGTGGTGGGGGGGTTAGTAAATTGGTGAACGCGAGGACTGGAGTTCGGGAAGTCCTGGTCAGGGTTCTTTGATTGGCAACGTACGGCCACGAAGCTTGCGTGCAAGCGATTTGCACGCACAGGCGAGCGGCAGGGATGAGTGCGCGTCTGTGAACACCCCCTCCGGGCCGCTGACAAATCTTGTCAGCACCGCAGCCCCAAGTCTCCCCACACCCCGCCAACTCACCCCCCCCCCCTGCCACCCTGCAACCCCCGAGATTACGAAGGTGCTCGCTGACCCTTCACAGGGCTACCTGACAGTTCCTCATCTTGCAAAAGTACACCTTGAGTGCACCTAAAAATTCGCGCAAAAAAAATTGCGTCGTCTTTTTTGTTGTGTGTGTGTGTGCGTCTCGTGGGAAAGTTCTGGGCACAGCAGCGGTTGGGTGAGTGCGAAGCCTCGGCCCGTGGTGAGCATTCTCACCGCTCATTCTGGCAGCCGCAATTTTCCGTGCTGATGTGGCCCGCTCGTGGTGACAGTCGCCCCTCACCAACTACAACCGCAGCGCTAGATACAGCCCCCCCCCCCCTCACTACAGACCCCTGCCTCCCCCCCGTGCCCTATTAAATAGTGGCACGCAAGCCATACGTTTTTCATCATAAGTCATTTTTTTAAAATTAAAAGTTACCGCTTGTTTTTCCTTTATTTAAAAAATGTATGCAACGGGGGGCTAAATCAGCCCACAGCCCCCTGCAAAGTTGCAAAATGGGACACGGTCTGAAATGTGGATTTGTGCTTTGCCTTCCACGGGCACGCAAAGGGGTTTATTTTTTGTTTAATGAAGATAAAACGTATCCAGATGGTTTATGACAGCGCGAGTTGGCTGGGCTCAATGACAGTTCGGTTGACCGTTTGTGGAATGTAGACGCGGCGATCGGGGGGGGGCACGGAACCGTAAGATGTGTTTTGATGCGACGTCGCTCTCTGACAAGACACCTAACCCCCCCCCCCCGCCCCCTTTAACTCCCACCCAACAGGTGCATCACCTGGTGCGTGCGCAGGGCGAGAGTTTGGGGAGCAGTCCCGAATTTGTCCCTCGGAGCGGATACCCCGGCGAGCGGGTCTACGAACGGCTCCTCGACTGCGTATGGCTCGCCACTCGGTAACGACCGATACCTGCGCGCTGCCACACCCAGGCCGGGCGGCCTAAGGGGTCGCTAGACAATTTTCTTTTTTACTTTTCAAAAGCTTTCACACAGCGTACGCTCCCCTTGAAGACCCCCCACCAAAACCAGAAAGAGTTCGTTGAACTTTTTATCCACGTAAAAAAATTGCTTTTATCAAGCAGCTTGCATAGTGGTTCAATGCTCTTCCCAAGTGTTCAGTTTGTACGATCGTGATGAATGTTTACGATTTACAATCCCAAACAGACCCATAAAAAACGTGGCCCTAAACAATGCCACCGCCGCTTACAAACGCTTGCCCACTCCCCTACACTCGTCCAACCCACATGGAAGCTGGATGAGGTAGGAATATTTGAGTGCCTTCTGGAATCACTGCCGAGGCTTGCCCTCGTGGTCCACACCACGGCGGTTTCACCGCAGCTCGAGTCGTCTTTGTGATGGAGGGGCTCGAGGATGCGGAGGAATGCAGCTCTCCCAGCCGCCAAAATCTCCAGCCGCAGCCCTGGGTAGGATAACCAGTGGCAGCTGCGTTTGGGGACACCGGGGGAGCCTTCCTCGCCACATTTTCTGCCGCGCGGGCGGCGGTGACCGTTTGGGCTGCACATCGATGTGTGCCTCGCGCTCGCGTAGACTGCGGAGCGAAAACAGCTGCCTGCTCTGTGTCACCGGGAGCTGCCGCTCTCCCAGTCGTCCTGTTTTGACGATGACTGGGTGGGCCCCCTTCCCTGCACATGGCCCACACCAATTCCCACCCTCCCCCCCCCCCCCCCCCACCAGTCCAACACCCTGACACTCACCCCTCACGCTCCAGATGTCACCAGCAGTGATTCGCCGCCACTTTAGATTTAAGCTGCTGAAAGCGAGCACATGAACAATGCTATTTTCCCAGAAGTTGCTGCAGGGGAACGCCCAAACAAGTCCACGCTGGCAGCGTCTTGTGAGCACACATGCGGTGCATGCAATAGAGAGGAAGCCTTGGGGGATAGGAATGAATGGCTGTGGCACACTGATAATTAGTCCGCCTATTCACTTAAACATAATTCTTTTATACTTCGTGATAGAATAATAATACAATTAAATAGTGTAATAAATGCCACACCTCGTTAAATAGGCCTGATGGAACGCAGGCGATTTTGAAAAGGTGGTAGTTGAGGGGGGTGGGCATACGTTGTGAGGGTGGGGGGCATACGTGGGGGGGGGGTGGGGGGCATACGTGGGGGGGGGGCATACGTTGGGGGGGGGCACAGGGAGGAGCCCCAGGTTCCCTCCCAGGAACCAGAGCTCTGAGGTCATTGGGCAGCAAGCGCTGCAGTTGCACCAGCACCTGGCCAAACACGCGGCCTCACGTCGGCCTCGCCGGTGCTGTGCGGCGCGCATTGCCGGCAATTTTGTAACACCTGTAAAAACGATTTCTGTTGTTTTTCACGGTGTACAGTGCGCCGTGTGTTTGCCCAGAATTATTTTGGGAAATCGACCGCCGTTTCTGAGCGCTGGTTGCGCCTCAATGGTGGTGGTGGGAGAGGGAGGGAAATGGCTTGGAATTATTGACGGCTGAAATACCCAGGCAACAACCACATACTCATATTTCACAATTTGAGTTATTGTGTATATTTTTTGCATCTATTCATTCTCTCATTGAATTGTAATACTCTTTTCCCGTCTGTCTCACCCTGAACTCTTCCCCCCCCCCCCCATTTCCTTCTCCCTCCCCCCCCCACCTCTTCCTCCTGTACTTTTCAGGATGAATCCCTGCGCCGTCACCCGTGCCGCTTACCTGGACGTGCTGTCCCTCGCCATTACCCACGGGGAGAGGAGCTGTCGCAAGGGTGGGTACGCACCGCCCACACCGGGTGGATCTGGAAGGATTTGCGTGATGGACAGGAGTGGCCGGGGCCACGGTGTCGGCTTTACATTGTCCAAACACGCACCGGCATGCACCGTGCGTGCAGCACTCTCACTGCGCGATAACCGTAAGGCGGTGCTCCTCTACTCACCGCGCAATAACTGCACGCTCTGCCGCACATCAGATGCCCAGTCACGTGTGCAGGGTCAGCAACAAAGGGAGGTCACACCTGGAAGATCGGTACTGTTGTAAGTACCTGTGCAGCTGATTAATTCAGGGCCCCTCGGGACAACAGCAGGAGCCACTGATGGCCCAACTCGACCCTTAAACCTTCCACTCCCCACGACACGGTCAGGCGGGGGTTGGGGGGCTGGGTGTGTGGAATTTGACAGGGTGACCCCACGCATGAAAAAAAATCACCCACGCTGAATTGCAGCCGGGCCGTTTCTCACAAACCTCCCCTTATTCTCATCTTAATTCAATTGCCGCTTTTTCATTCCATATTTTTTTTCTACCCAAAGCATTCCTTTGCGGCGCACAAGCATGGTGTCACTTAGTAAATCTGTAGTGGTCCTGATTATTTTGAAAGCACATGGACCGAAGAGTCAAGTGATTGTGTATTATTGTTTCACGATCGGCTGATGTGTTCCTTATTGCTCACCTGACAGTGTGGCTAGGATCGGAATGTGCCTGGCTTGCATCTCTGTCACGACTTCCCGGGTGCCCGCTCGCACACAAGCGCCCACTCTTCCCAACTCCCCCGGCTCCCACGGCCAAGTGTCCGCCGTGCACGGCCACTTAAAACGTTACACATCGCAGTTCTGTGAGAAGGGTGACTCACAAGGAAGGTGACATGAGCGATGGGTCACGGACACGGATCTGGGTGCAGGGAGACAGCACGGCTATCATGTGGCTCTGACCCCGAAGACTGGACGTGCGATCCCCATTCGCGGGATAGACAACAGATTAAGTCCCAGGCAGGGGATTTATATGTCGTATTGCTGAACAAAGTCCCCAGTGATACCATTCGACATCACGGCTATGGAGAAATTGGATACGATGTCATTCAGCCATCGGTGTAATGTTTGTAATAATGTATTCGGTGTAGTTGTTTGACATACTGCTTGCAAAAAACGTATACAGTTTTAATTACACCTGTTTTATATTTACACTAGCTTGTGAATAAATTGTTTGGGCAGGTTTATATAATCGCATAACTGGTTGTCCTTTGAGAAGGGTAGTACCAATCGTATATCCTAATGAGCGCCTTGCATTGTTGGCAAGCAGCCATTATACTGCATATGATCCGATTAAAACAATATATTTAATGATCCTGTTGTGGCAGTAGTGCACTCGCATAAATAACAAAATTCACCACATTCATCAATAATGCTGCCGTAAAAGGAGAAGTGTACATTCGGTGACAGCACAAAACTAGAGAGGCCAGAGAGATAAGAATGGAGTTATCCAATTGTCAGATTTCCACTGCCGTCTTAATTCTAAATTCCGCCACTAGACTTCGCACCCAACCGCCTAAGAGTCTACATCATCCCAATAATCCATCAAACCGGCTGCCAATCCAATTTTGGATCGGTCTCAAAATTACACTTACCATCTCCAAGATCTACAAAATAGCTATGCCCACTGCTTTTGTAAACCGACTCGAGGTGCGGTCGCATTTAAATGCCATAATGTACTCCGTTGTTCTCCCACAGGCGCCGTCTACGCTACGCTCGTGCTCCGCACGCATGCATTGGTCTCGGCGTGGTTACAGGCCCCTTCGGATGGGCAGGTGCTCGAGCCGGGCCACGCGCTGTGGGAGGCCAGCTCCGCTCACCTGGCCCTCGCGCTGCTCTCCGCACAGCCGCCCTACCAGCGGCAAGGTGCAAGCGGCACAGAAAGTCGGACCGCGGACGACGCTGCTGGGGATGAGCGGGGGCTGCTGCGCCGTTTGCTGTCGTCCCCGGCGTGCGAGGTCCACTCGGCGGCCCTGTGCTGGCTCGTTGCCGCCCGTGCCAGCGAGCACCGCCGGGGTCAACCGCAAGGCACCCAGCTGGGCGGCACGGAGGTCATGGAGGCTGTCCGGGATTTGGCCGTCCAGGAGATGCACCCACAGTGCCGCACCGAGGTCAGGGTCCTGCTAGCATTGGCTTCTTCCATTTAAAAGTTTCCGGTGCAGCTTCACATACAGTCATGTGCCGTACCTCGCCTCACATTTGCGAGCGCTTGGGTTGAAGCCAGACATAAGTCACTGAGGAATCGATATATGCTGCCCGTTTTAAATTGTGTTTCATTAAAAGAAGATTCTGCGAGACAAACATTCCTTTTATACGCAGTGGCGGTGGGAACGTGTTGCCCTCTCCTGTGTAGATCAGAGGTCACTTGAATGGATCTTGGAGGCAGTTCTGTGGTGTCCACTTCCATGGGCCGAATGGATGCTTTGTCTCATGACATGACACTCATAGGTTATACAGCGCAAATAATGCAAGGCTCGTATATTGTAGTTTCACACCTAAACTGTGGCCCAGGATGACTGACATGAATGAGAAACTTCGTTAAAAGTAACAAACACAAACTTCCAGGTGTGCCACTGTAGAGTGATCAAGTGATGCCATCGCATCGATGTGGTATTACAATGTACACGAGTGACAATGCATTAAAGTCACTGGATCACGACAGCATGCCTGGAGATTATAGTCTTTTTTTTAATCTCGCCAAGCTTGAGAATCGTGTCAGAAAACATCTTACTCATGCAGCTATTTCCTCCAATTCACTGCGCACTTGCTATCACAGGCATTCAGGGCACTCTGTCGCTGGCCGGTGGAGGATTTGGTGCCATGGCCCCAAGGGATTGGGTGCCTGGCTGCTGACGAACTACTCAACTGGATCGTCGCCCTGATTGAGGCCAACCTGCACAAGTGAGACAGCGCAGAGCGTCACTGGCGTTACGTGAGCACAACAGTCGTGATTGCGCCAACACACCACTGTGCGGGGAAGCGATCATCCGACGGGTAAACGTTTGACCCCTTTTCGTTCACTGCAGCGTCGACCTCCGATGTGCCGGCTTGGAATTCAGTGCCCACGTGGTCCAGCACTTGCTGAATCTCAACCCGATGCAGGTGCGTGAACTTGCCCTTCCTCTTTTGCCCTTCCTCGTTTGTGTTCAAGAGACATTAAATTTTACATAACTATTAAGCCGATGGGCTGCCTATGCTTGTTCACGTAGCCCACGGCGAGATAATCCGCACAGCATTGCCTAACATTCCAACGGAAGTCGTCGCACCCATACAAGCAGCTCTTGTGAACTCTGCCCAAGAGGACAGCAGTTCCCTATTTGGTTGCCGCTTCGTCGCCCATCGCATGTGGGCATGAGCACAACAGGGATCCGTTCACAACAACACCCCCTCCTTGCTTGCTGCCTCCTTCCGCGCTGTGACATTTTGCCGAGACAATGTGACGCCCGTCCCTTTCTCTGCTCCTTGACTTTTTTCCGCCCAGCAAGTACCGCCGGCTTGGGCCCGCTGCGTCGAGCGGTGGATCCGATCGGTTGTCGCGGGTGGCAACGCTGACACCCGGTCGGAGGTCAGGCTCGTGAGCGCGGAGGTCATTGGCGAGGTCGCCGCTTCGCTCCTGACCAATGACAGACTTCCTATGGGTAAAAAGTGCAGTGCATGCGAACCAGACTCGCACGCACCTGTGAGCCAGAGGCACCGCGGGGTGCTGGGTGGACCCCAGCCTGGTGCGCTGTACCACAACACGTGCACAAGGACCGTTCCCTTCACATGCACAAATCTGCCACAGTAATATTGGTTTTATGGAATTCCTAAAAAAAAAACGTCTGTTTTGTTTGCACCGAGGTGGCATCAAAGTGAAAAAGGCACTCGCTCGTAAACATTACTGAGTGTGAGCTTTTATTTCTCCAACAAATGGCTTTTGCAATCATTCATATGCCTTGGTTCCGAAACATTTCTTGTGATTCGTGCTAGCTTTGGAATGTGGTTTATTATTTATTTACTCGAGTGGTTTTTGTAACATCTGCTTTAAAAAATATATATATAATTTGCAACACCCCACACGCACCCTTGCAGCGGGGTTGGCGGGGGATTGCTGTACCAGGCGGAGGGTCGCCCCACGCCGGCACGATCCGTGCTCCTTCCTTCCCTCGCCCGCTCAGTCGGCTCCATTTATTAATTTATTTACGCGCACACGGATCGCGATGCTTAACAAGCAGCCCATTATCGCGCCGTTGTTCATTTACTAGGGTGGTGTCGGGGGGGGGGACAGCGGGGACTTGTCTTGTCCCCCATCACTCGGTGTTCCACGGCGCACAGCTATGGGGAGCTGCTTGTGCTTGACGATTGTGGGGGTCGGCTGGGCTGCGTCCCCCCTTCTTTGTTCATACAAATGCCCCTATTTTATTGATTCTCGCCAACACCATCCATTGTCTGCTTCCCCACAGACGGCGATGACCCCGCGTGAAACTTGTCAGCAGTAGCTGGCTGGTTGTCGTCCGTGTGTCCCGGACATTGGCCATGTTTGCACAAATTTAGTTTTCTTTTCCCCATGCGGTTTCCAAATTACCCACCATGGGGGTAGAGGCTGGGACCCACTTGTAAACAAGCAGCTGAGTGCAACAGCTGCACATAAACATATTTAATAATAAACAAATGTGTAAACATCAGTGGTAAACTGAGCAGTGAGAGCAGCGCAGCAAGGGAGATAATTCTGGGCATGAGGCTGCACGAGTGTGAATTTGGATGTGACTACTTGTTGTTTGACAACTGCTGTACTTTTTCTTCACTCGTATGGAAATAGCAACATTTACAAGGGGAGATCGAGTTTAGAAATTCAGTCGAGAATATCATCGAATGCGGAATTAACTATTGTCATCCCACCGGGAAGTGAATATAAAGGGAAACTGTTCACAATGTTCCATTAAGTTCGCTGCAGTTGCAGTGGGGATTGTCTTTTAATCGTCGCCACTTGTGCATCAGATATCAACGTGTCCCATGGCAAGTCCTAATGATCACCCACTGCCATGCTCACACCATGTTACCAGGGCAGGGATGAGTTGTGTTAGATGAATATGCCAGTAATTCCTAAACGATGTCATCTCTTATTTTGGATAGTTGCACGTGCTAAGCTTCTCTGGGTAAACGCACATTATGTAAAGGTTTATCGTGACCATTTGTTTTTGTAAGACACTTTTTTTTCCCCACACACGTGAACTTGTGTGGAGATCATTGATGTTACATTGCTCTCTTCCCACATCGCCCCCCCCCCCCCCCCGTATCGTCCACTCGTCTAAACCATTTCTTGTTGGGTTTTTTTCACCCACATTGTTGGCCACCCCACATACATGCCGTGGCTCTCCAGGCCTGGGGGGCTGCCTGAATCTGTGGGGGGCCCTCCTGGGACTGCTACAGGACGACGATGTGGGGGTGCGGGCACGGGCCACGACTGCGCTGGGCGGCCTCGCGCCCCGGAGCCCCACGTGGGAAGGTGAGGGGAACCAGCGGGGGGTGGGGGGGGGGGGGGGGGGGGGGGCGTGCGGGCCAGCGGTCGGACCATGTCCGGCGACCCGCACCGGCAAGCCGGGGCCTGGCTGTGCTTGCCCGCCGACTTAAATTACACGCAATTAGTCTCAGCCGTTTCCTTATTACTGCAACGAAGGCCTCGTGTGGCACCATGCGCTCACTGCTGTCGCTGCGGATTACTTCGTGGCCGGCGGAGGCTTAATGAGAGAAACTACGTAAAGGGATGAAATTAAACTTTACCAGCGAAGCGGGCATTTGGGACAAGGCGCTGTGGGAGTGCAGGGCCTTAAAGGGAGCAACTCAAGCGAGAGCAACGAGTGCACGGAACTCACTCACTCGTTCCATCTGACCGCCCCGCAGCATAACGATAACGTGAGTGAGGAAGGAGTGAGAGACGCGGATGAGGGTGAAGTCATGACTGCACGTCAGCGAGAACATTTTTCACTGCGTTTTAACAAAAACACTTTCCTGGGTATGAGTGTCACTGTAGGTCAAAGTCGATGTTATCTTTTGCCAGGGACTGGTGAATTTATTTCACCCTTGTTCCAAAGAAAAAAGAGAGTTTAAATCAGTGTTAACAGTTATTGCCGACGAATTAAACGTGATGTAGGTACACTTAGTGATAACTGGACTGTGGAGGTGAGTGACTTCATTTCTGCGAAGCCTTCCGTGGGCAATGGTGACCATACGCATGGAGGATTCGGTCAACATTCTTCTCCATTTTCCAGGAAGTTAACAAAACAACATAGAGATGATTACAGTTTAGAGACACAAGTAATGCGACTGTAGTGTGTAATCGATTGTACACAGCACGAATAATTTTCTTAACTCTCGGGATATATGCACAACGTGCAGCAAACACGCAGCCTAGGGGGAGGCATGGCAAAATGAGCTCTATAAACACGCCTCAACAAACAAACAAAAATAATCTGTTGATGCCTCTGGCTTATTTAAAAGTAAACCAAGCTACTTTCAAGGCCAGGCCTAGCATATCTGACCAGGGTGGCGGAGAGACCTGCAAACTGTTTAAAAACAACAGCATTGCACACATGTTTTCCATGCAACAAACTTAAAAGAACCCAAAGACTGAAATATGACCTCCCACAATGCCTCAGGGCTGGCAGTAATGGCTGCAGTCACACATTTGGACGCAATCATCCATGGGTGCCTGTAACAGCTCCTTGTTTTCTTTTAAATGATATGAATAATGAAAGTGTAAAGAAAAGCACAAAGACTGATAAACCCGTGGCATAACCTCAAACAATAGGCTGCTACTATTTATGGCTGTGTTCAAGTTAAACACTTAACATGAGGCCACTTGTCAAAAGGTTGAACTTTTAAATGTAAAAATTCTCCTTTTTTCCACATTGAAACATTTTCTTTGGAAAACATTTCATTTAAAAAGATTCCTGTTATTTTTATATAAGCATTATCACTCACTGCGTTTTCAAACGAGATGGAAACCAGGCATGAAATGACAAGATGTTAATTTAAATAAAATAAAAAGCATTCGGTACCCAGCCCAAACAGCTCATCACACTTTTATTCAAAAACATGTGGTCAGACCCAATCAGTTTGTAACATCCCAAACGTGTAAATGCTTGAGTCCGAACGACTCACCCCCTGCAGCCTGCTTTGTCTCTGGTCATTCGAGTTGAGGATCTATATGCAAATAGTTTATGGCTTTCAGCTGAGAGCGTTTCTCTTCCCGTTAAAAAGACATAATTGCCAGCACGTTCCCCGCCTCATCTTACAGCACCTGGGGAGTGACCCCCTTTGTCTGCCATGTCTGTCTGCCACAATATTTATCTCCTCCAAGTTTTGCACGACTCCTCTCACCGGCGATGACTCCAAGAAAGTGTCCCCCCCCCCCCCCCCGACAAAAAAAGGCAAAATGGCACGATACCGCATGCTTGAGCAGTGGACAAATTTGGTTTGGCAAACTGCCCTATTCGTGAAGAGCATACACTCGCATTCGTGTTGGAGGTGGATTACTTTACACCAGTCAGATATTTTGGTGACTTCTTTGGGATTTGGAGAAGACTAAATGTCGCCAAAAAACACTGTTTGCATACTGATCCGTGTGCTGCCTCCATAAGCAAAACGGGCCTCAGGACTAGTCCCATCGGCCCAGCCACTGGTTGCCGAGAAAGGTGCTAAGGATGCAACACGTTCTGTCGATTCTGCCTGATGGTGCTCATCCAATACAGATTATCACAACTATACAAAACTTTCTACTTTAGCTTACATTACATACATTAACTTCCCCTCCAATAATAACTGTCTTGACATTCATAATGAAGTTTTTTTTGGGTTAGATCGTGTAAATATAAATGTGTCGTTAACCCACCACCCGACACGGCCAATTAGTAAGTTTTGTCGCGTAAACAAAACGTGCCAATTAGTTACTTCAGCACACCCGTGAGGAGAGTAAACTCACATTTACAATTTGAGTACGACGTCTTGACATAGATCTATCGGTGAGGTACGCCTGTATTTTCAAATGAAAGTGCCATTTTTACTTCCCCCTAAAGCAATAAACAGATTAAAATAAACATCAACCGGGCACATTTGTAATAGCAGGGCCCAAAGATAGGTCTGCGGTGGCTAAGGGGAGTTTCCAAACGACCTTGTTGGCCTGCCTCTTATCCACATAGGGGAAGTACTCAACTGTCCCCTCCCCCACCTATGGCCTCACTCCAAACGCACGTACACACACACGCGGACAAAAACCCCTCTTTCCGTCTGCCCCGTTGAGCCTCCTCCACCTCCCTCACCGCCCCAGCCCCCCCTGGCCCTTCCTGCCACACTCCATCCTCACCCTGTAGCTCAGAGCCCTGCTCGGGCGGCCTGGAAGTGTTTATAAAGGCACGCTTGGCTTGCCAAGAAAATTTTTGGTCTTTTTTTCTCTCCCTTATTTTCCCTTTTTTTCCATCCTTCCTGGCTAAGAGCGCCAGTTTGAGTTGGAGGCCATGCACAGCGGGTGGCATACAAGCGGAGGGAGTGAGCGGGAACCACTCCCCGCCGAGAGCGAGCCGACTGCTGGGCCCGCGAGCTAACGTGCCTTTGAGCTTTAAAAACTGTTTAATTTTTGCATCTGGTTTTTGTCTTGAGAAATTCCATATATAAAGCTGCAATGCATGCATGGCGGCGTGATGTCGTAACTCTGGCATGCTTTAATGTGGGGCAAAGCCCCTAAATAACAAGACCAGGAGTAAAGCTAACAACTAAATATCCCCCTCTAATTTATTTGCCTTTTTTGTACCTAAAGGGATTTTTTTAAACAGTGTGTGTTACAGTCGGTATGCGTACCATATGGATTTATAAAGTGTCCGAATAAAGTTATAGCTCAAGGCTGCACCATGCGGTAGCTAGTTATGGTAACAAATTGTTGGGGTGATGTATAATTGTTTTCTGTGATGGAGTAAGTATTCTTTGTATTGACGAGGATCGTCGTTGACATTAATTTAGGAGTTGCACTCGAGGAGGTGATGCCAAACCATGCCCTGGACCTGGGACTCAAAGCCCTCCTAGACCTGCTTGGAGCCTGGGGTCTTTTCTGGGAGGCCTTGCCCACCCTGCTGCTCTGGCTGCTGGAAGACGAGGAGCCAAGAGTGGTAGGGACAACTGAGGATGACGAGCAAGGAGGGCTGGGGCACCCGGCAGAACTTTTGATGGAGGCTGGAGAAGAGAGGGAGGTGAGATATCACATAGCTTGGCGAAAATCCCACAACGCCAAGCACTTTAGAACTTAGATAGAAGTGCGGCCATGTGGGCTTCATTACAACACAGATTAGTAATATGTTGCATTGAATAAAAATTCACCTGCAGGTGTAATACAGGATTTTTGTGGATAAGGCACATTTTTAATTGATGATAATAAGATATTCAGCAAATGTGAGTGTTCATTAGACGTATATCAATGTTTGTCATATAAATCTATATATAACAGTTATAATAATGTGAGGGTTGTGATGGTTAACCATCCATTCATAAAACACCTTTGTATTTTCCAGAATGAAAACGAGTTTCTCTTCGACAAAGGTCGAGTCAACCTCTTTGCCGAGAGGCTGCTCTTCGCCCGGCTTCTTTGCGCGCGTCTTGAAGGCCACCTGCGACATCTCTTCACGCACCAGCCGGCACCACCAAACCCTGACGTGGCCGAGCGGCTAGCGGCCACGGCGGATGCGTTGGCTGCCAGCTCGCGGAAGGCTACGCGTGACCTGCTCCAACTGCGGCGCTCGCTGGAGCCAAGTCTCCAGGAGGCACCACGCTACACGGTGCTGGCGGAGCGAGCGGCGCGCTGCGTGCTGACCCTGCGGGTCCTGCTCCTTGCCGTTGCGCCTTCGGAGCCGGCGCCTGCGCTGCAGGCCGCCGTGCAGGCCGGTCTGCAGGAGGCGCGGGCATTGGAGCGGGCGTGCAGTGGCACAGGGCTGACTCACAGCTTCTTGGCATGCACAGCTGGGATCCATCAGGGTTACGCATTGAACCCTGAACGCAGCTGCTCTTAGCATGCGCAAGCCTTTAAAATGAATTTGCAGCGTACTTAATTGCACAGATGCGGTTTACAAAATGTATGATTTAATGTTGTTACGGTCTCAATTGAACGGCATTTGGCCGAGATGGGATGCACTGTCCGAGAAGAATGCGTTCGCCCAGGAGGAAGGTGTCCTAAATCGGTCTGCTGACAGAAAAAAAAGTCTTCCACTCGGATGGAGAACAGGGCCTAACAAATCAGAAACAATAACTATATAAATTTTGTTTTTAGTACAACTCAAACCAAAGCTACTGGAGTCATGTCGCTGTGCACGTGCCGGTGTCACCACTTCACACGCTCAAACGTTCGAACAGATTATGTCAAGTGGGTGCCATCTGCTGTGTGTGATCTCTACAGCCAGATTCGAAGACAAACGTCAGCATGTTCAATTTGCGTCACTTTTCACACTTCTCTCCGTTTGTTTTCTCCACTCGTCTGCCGGTCGAGTCTGCTCGCCTTGTCACCCAAATTGACTCTGCGCAAGGCACACAGGCCCCAGAACCTTGTCTCGCCTCGGCATGGGAACAGGAAATTGGGGAACATGAGAGAAAGGGCCATATAGCTTGTCCAGCTCTCAGCGCCACGAGTCAAATCCCGGAGCCGCACGACACGCCACCCCCCGCCCCCACTGGCAGTCGACTCCACAGCAGTGCCTAAGCCAATGGTTTTCAATCTTGGGGGGGGGGGGGCTTCTGAGGGGTAATACATTTTCGACAGGGGGGCGGCGCCAGGCTCTCCAGCAGTCATATTTTTAGCACAACGAAAATATACTTGGGGTTTGTTTTTTTTGCTGCCCCATTTTAAATGATTGGGTGGAGGAGCTTGGTGAAGAGAAACAGGGTGCGCTTCACGTTAGACTTCAATGAAATAAGAGAAGTCTGGAGGCGGTGAGGTGGGATTTGGAAAGGAAGTGCGCCTCGCTGACAACTGTAAGGAATAAGTGAACGCTGCTCTGCGTACGTAAACAAAAAACTCGGTGACAATTTTATTCAAACATCAGCGGCCCCAATATTCTATTATCGGGTCATAAAATGCTTTTATCTAAGTGCCTTGCAGTTCCTATAGTTGAACAATGAATATGCATTGCATGGTGCTCTGTGCCATTGCATACCTTGAGAGGACAAATGCTCATAAGGGTGTTATTTCACACCTGTATTCTGTTCGCACCTCGCCTACCATTCTCATAAGCCAACCCCGCACATGCATCGGGCGTGACAGGTCACGGTTAGTCATGTGTAGCGCTAGTGTGAAGTCATTCTCCTCTCGCGCATACCGGGCCCTGACCACCATTAGATCATCCGTGAGTCCGCAGAGGCAGGAAACGTCTACATGGAAACCAAGGCATAGGTGTTTTGGAACTGGTCATCTCCTGCAGACATGGACCAAGCTTGCATTATAAAATTGTATGGCCGACTGAGCTGGAATTAAAATTCAGGGTAGCACATGGATTGGCATCTGCAACAGTCACACTTGCCAAAGGGTGTTATTTTAACAAAGACGTCACTGACGTGAGCTAAGACCCGCGTTTGCAATTAACTATATTTGGAGTGAGAGCGATTGGCAGCCTAAACCGCACGAGACGATGGCTTCTAGGGAGAGGCCACGCTTGTGCGAGCTGCAGAGTGACTTGACAACTCGTTCCCGTAATTCTACAGTATCATGTTATCATTTACTTGAAACTGACAGCTCCTGATCTTTCGGCGGGCCAGCTTACGGGAATGTGCACGCTGATTTGTTACTATGGGAATGTGGTTTCCAAAGGCAGGCTTACGGAATTATGAAAGGTCACATCCACAGTGGGGCAATCAAGAGGTGCCTTCTGACCTTGCGCACATGTTGTGTGCGGTAACAGTTACAGTCATATTTTGGTTAATTTTGTCCCTTTGATTGCTGGCCGCTTACAGGCTTGGGACGATGTAATGTTGAATCTGTTGAATATATTTGTAACAATTTCAAATCGTGACACTACTCTTGAGCTAGTCAGAAGTGACACATCCACTGTGAACATCTGCCAAACGTCTTTTTAATATAAAGTTTTTTTTTTACCAAAACAGTGTCCCGATCAGTTTTCACATGGGGGGATCATCGTGCGGGAGTGGAGAGTAAACATACTGAGGCACTTGGTGTCTAAACAGCAGTCCATTGAGACGATATCATCTCTCGCGTATGTTCGTTAATTACAAAGAAAACTATGATTGTGCTATTTCTGTAAAGGTGTTCTTTTTTAAAGTCAAGTACGAGCAAGGGGCATTAACAGTTGGCCCAATAAGGCCACACCATCACAATGCATAATGGTAATTGGTCATAATGTATCCTATTAGCAATGTATGGTATTTGAATAAGCGCTGCAATACAGCCCCCAAACTGCTAGACTAACAAAGCAATACTTTAATGATGACTAAGTTATTTCAGGTGTTAATTTACTCCCTACTAATAAAAATGACTTTCACTTGTGATATTACTTAGGGACAGACACCTCACAGAGTTACCAGCCAGGATGAGAATTGATCAAATTGAACTCTATGCTCCAAGCCATCTCCATCAGTGTCCTCGTGCTGCAGGGCGTCCGTCTCCATCGTTCTGCTACACACACACACACACAGGTAACGCACACCGTGCACACATGTTGATCGATGAACATGTAAAAGCTGACAAGTAGGGAGTGCAGTTCATGTGGGTGATATTGTGGAAGCCAGATTGCCACTGGAATATTGACTGTGAAGGTGACTTTTTTATTTAAAGCTTTCGTGACTGCAGTAATTCATATTCTTAGCTCTTCAACGTGACTTTACCGAAAGAGCTAAGAATGTGAAGGTGACGTTAAGGTTGACTGGATGGGGAAAGTAAAAAAAAATGCTTAGCAAAAACATCAAGGAAGGATATGTTGTTGCTTAGGACTTGTGCTGACCCTTGGCTTTGGAGATCCTGTGTTAGGTTTTCCAGGTACGACAGTTTTCTGCCTAATGCCGACAATTGCCAGAAATCCAAAGTAGGAACATCCAAAGTTTTCTCGTGACTCAAATTGGAAGGTTGCAGTTCAAATTTTGGTCACATACCATCACACCTGAGATCAATACAATGACAAGTCACTTCGTGGGATCTCGACAGCAGTCATCCTCTGGAGAGACTGGCCCTCGCCAACGGAATGTTGAATTAGCAACACTCAATGGAGTTGAGCTGCACTCCCATTGCTCTTGAGTGAGGAGACACTGACTTTATTCTTTAAACCGTAATAATTTTGGACCCAGTCTCGATACTCCCAAAACAAATGCTTACGATGCAGATTCAAGTATATTGCCAGTTATGCGGCGAGGGGAGTGGAATCTACATTAAACGATACAAAACACTGAAACTGAACAATCAGCCACCACGGGAACAAACCACGTTTTTTAACGTTACGTTTGTAATGTGACGAACTTGGACATGTTTATATGCTTTTTAAAACACTTGAGATAAAATAGTTTACAGCTGCGCTGTCTCTGACGTCAGTTTGGCTGCTTACGACTTGTCACAAGTTGAGCGTGCGCAGTTGCGTGAACATCCCCAATTGTAATGTTCACGTCATTTCGGGCAGAGCTGTTTATTTTTTAAGTTTTTGCTGGCGAGCTCGCACGCAGGCAAGGGCACGGGCGATGGCGTCACATTCATCCCCACGGCTAGGCCTCGGCAAGGTAAGGTAATTTACCCTTTTTACCGGGTAAAAGGGTAAAGGTGTCGACATGCCAAGGGGTAAGGTAAAGGGTAGGGTAAAGGTAGCTCGGAAGAATTACCCGGTAGGGCAAAGGTAGCGCGAAGTATTACCCGGTAAATACGGTACCTTGTTTACCGCTAAAAGCACCGTGGCGCAGTCCGTGGCCTCCATTTAATAAGTAATATTTTTTTTAAACTTCTTTAAAAACACGCTGTTATGAAATCTACGAGTAATGGCAGAACTCCACGACTCCAGGAAGTGGCCCCGAAGCTTGCCATAACGTAAGGGACCGTGGGCAATTACAGCCAACGTCAGTTGACAATTAGACCCAAGCCGAAACATAACATAAAAAAGAATGTTTAAAAATATTTTTATTTTATTTTTAATGATAGAATATAGTATTGTCATCAGTATGACATCAGTATACCAAGTTTGCAGTCGAAACCACATTGGGAAGTGGGTTAAAACTGAGTTACAAGATTTGAGGATATGACAACAGTTTAAAGAAAGCATGTAAATTCTAGATTTGAAGCTTTCGTGACTGCAAGGATTCATACTCTTTGGTTTTTTTTCGGTAAAGTCACGTAGGTAAAATAAAATTTTAAAAAGAAAACAACTAAATTAAATCACGTGACTTTACCGAAAAAACCAAAGTATGAAAGCGTGTAAAATTGGAATAATCGAGAGTATTCTATATGAATAAAGCACTCTACCTAGCATTTACCTGTTATAAACTTTTTTCATGTGTAGTACCCCAGTAATTACCCTGTAATCGGGTAATTTGTATGGGGTAAGGGTAAAAGGTAGGGTAAAGGTAGGCTCGTTGCTTTTTACCTTACCTGCTGAAGGGTAAAAGGTAGGGTAGAGTGATTGTATGGTAAGGTAAAAGGTAGGGTAAAGGTAAAGGTAGGCTCGTTTTTACCTTGCCGAGGCCGACCCACGGCGTCGAACCAGGTTAGTGCGTGCTGACGTCACGCTTCTCCACCTCGGCCGTGTATGCCGAGCAAATCCGTAAAAAAGTTTATTTTTTTATTGTATAAATAGTGCTCTTTACGCCAGGGCGTCTCAGACATTTGAAAGAGCACACCGGGTGGCAGATGTCCCGATTGGGAACAAGGCGACTCAGCTCCTGGCCTGCTAACAGACATACGTTTACAAGGAGGAGGCTATGGTTACTTTGTGTAATTTCCAAAACGGGTAAGGGAATGCAAATCAATTGTTAATATTTTGTGTTTCAGCCGATTGTCATTCACGTGGTTGGTTTGAGACCCTGTCTGGGTGAAAAACAAGGTTCTACGTACATAGGCGCTTCACCTAAAGTTACACAACACTACCGAATAGAGCTTGCCCAGGGGGCAGAGTCAACTGGATGAGATGCGTCAGTTTACGAGCACCGCGCGACGCGTGAGAACCCGTGGCTTGCAGGTGACAGGTGCGCCGATGAACCCCAACTGCCTTACGCAGGGCTTTTGAGCGAGGCCACACGGCTTCAAGGAAACAAATAAACAGAGGAGGGCTTGTCTCTCCGTGTGAAAATAAAACATTGTAGTTCATCAACACAGTGGCCCTTTTCAGACCAATGCCTTTCAGCAGCGTTTGTTTAAGCAGTAAACCCTGGATTCGTTTCTACTTTAGAGTCTAATCAAGGCGTGGCATGAGTCACAAATATTGGTGGGTTGCCTGGTACCAGTCATCTCAATCAGCCAACCCACGGCACCTGCTGGGTCTGTCCCGAGACCTGTCAGCGAGGCTTCCCGACACTTCACGTGGTCTCAAAGTGCACAGGCGCCGTGGCGAATGGCGGGTATGGGTATTGGTCAAAAGGCTGACGCACTCGACCAACCATTGTCGAGCCCGTTTATTGCGGCTTAACGAGGAGACGGTTTTACAACAGAAGTTCACTCACTGACGCATTGACAGATATTTCGCCACGAGGACACACACCACTTGGGTTGACTCGCCATATCACCCAGGGGTCTTTATAGAGTAACAACTGTGTGGAAAGTCGAGTCGACACGAATCGTTTTCAACAATAGCCCTGTCACGTGAATGCGGAACGGACACCACTGGATCAGGTCCGAGAATGGAGTTTAGCGGCGCCGCATTGCTCGATTTGAAGCTTTCGTGACTGCAGGAAATCCATACTCTTTGGTTCTTTAGGTTAATTCACGTAGGTAGAATTTTTTTATTATTTTACCTTTTCTACATACGTGACTTTACCGAAAAAATTAAAGTGAAAATAAACTGCAACCATCTCGGCGTGTCGAAATGTTCCTCCCGCAACGGCCACAAGTTTCAATCCGCCTCGACACGAGCAGTTCAGCCTCCTCCACGCCAAACCCTCCCCCCTTCCCATCCCCACACAACATGCCACGTATTAACATGTAACGATTCGTTGTTTAAAAATCGATTATCGTCGCGATGCATGACGCTTGGACCGTGCGCGCGTAAGAACTGATCGTCAAGAGATTATTTACGGTGTATGCAAATGTATACACACACATGAAATCCCAACGTTACATTTTGAACAGTGAGACGAGCAAAACCGTTCCAACATGAAAGATAAATAAGTTAAACTACACACGCGAGAAGATGAAACGAGAGACCAGAGAGCACAAGCAATCCTCGAATCAGAAGAATCACGATTGTCAATTGGCGTGGGGCCCATCATTGCTCGTCTCACGTCCGCTCACGAGCTACCGCGACGTATATCCGTCGTGCCTTCTGCCGCATGTGGACTCCCCCCCCCCCCCGAGGTGGGGTTGCGCGGAGGGCAACGCGTCTCAAAATGTGGGCAGAACAAAGTTCCCGGAACCCAAACATCGTGCGTGCGGCGAGACTCGCAGACGGCTCCCGCACGTGCGGTGCCGCTAACGAGACATTTCCTGGGCTTCGCCGCTCATTCATTAGCGAGTGTTGGCCTGGCGGCGGGAGCGAACCGCAGGCCGACAGGTGTGCGGTTCGCGTCACCTGACCGCAACACGTGGTTGGCGATGGTAGAGATAAATACTGCGGGTGATGATAATGATGACGATGGTATTGGTGGTGGAGTTAGTGATGATGGTAACGATATTGGTGGTGGAGTTAGTGATGATGGTGACGATGCTATTGGTGGTGGAGTTAGTGATGATGGTGACTATGGTATTGATTGGTGGTGGAGTTAGCGATGGTGACGATGGTATTGGTGGTGGAGTTAGTGATGATGATGGTGACGATGGTATTGGTGGAGTTAGTGATGACGTTGACGATGGCATGGTGGTTGGAGTTAGTGATGCTGGATGGTGACGACTGTGGTGATGTTGTGAAAGGGTTAGTAGTATCCTATCTCGTGGCGATTGCACGCCTGCGTTAGTCTGAGAATAATACTCAGTTCTACCGGATGTGGCACACAGTCCGCATTAATTAAATAACCTCCAACACTACCTTACACGATACACGTACAGTATGTTTAGGCATCAAACTTGCGTGGAGTAGACATACTACGAGTGGCAAATATACATTTTGAAACAAAATTTTGTAAACTAGCTAACAATGTGAAAGCTTCAACAATAATTATAGGGTTTTTTCCTATTTTTTCTGGCAACAAAACTGAAACCTTTTTACAAGGATTCATGTCTGCAGTAACCACAATACCTGCAGTCAAAATGCAAACAAAAACATACTATGATAATATATGCATTGTCCTTTAAACTGATTGATATACATGATTGATATACATTAATCCTTGTAAAAAGGTTTCAGTTTTGTTGCCAGAAAAAAGGGGAAAACCCCTATTATATGTTGCTACTGCCAAAGGACGTCTAATGATGTAGCTTCAACAATGTTCGACGTCCAATATTTGTTGTTACCAATGCTGTAGTATACTGCATTGACAGTTTAATACGCAGTGCAC